CTCCTCCTTTTTTTACCTCAAGTGGCAAAGTACCAGGTCGTCTAATGGTGCGGATAAGTGTTCCATGGCCTTGTTCAAGGCAGTTTCTGAGTTACCAATTTGAGGTATCGAAACATGATTATGTCGTAGAGACAAGAGATCCTGAAGACAGAAGAATCATATTTATGATAGATTAGATAAATGTAAACCTCGAACCTTAAAATCTTTGTGCCAATCATTTACCGCCAATGCCTCCCCGTCTTGGTTAAGCCACACTCGCCGAATCTGCGAAATAAAGAAAAAATAATGATCTTACAATTAATATTATCATACAATACCTTTACACGTCTTGTGTGTTTACATTCAACTATACACCCTACCTGCATTATATAAGAATCCATTTAGATTGTAAATAAAATATAAATAATAAAACTTTTGTAACACTTTGCAAATAAACAGAATTTTCAATCAAATGAGAGATTGAGAGATCTTGAAAATATATAGCGGCGGCCGTCGCATTGATTTATTTATACATACACGACACTACGGACAAACGGACACGGATTCAGGGAGCATTCACATTGGAGCGGAAAGGCAGAAAACCAATCAGAAATTGCACTTAGCTGCCAAGTGCTACACTTGCTAGTACTTAATAGCTAAGTTCTGATTGGTTTCTGCCTTTCCGCGCGCCAATGTGAATCCACCCTTTTATGCTCGGTTGGTAATATCATTATCCACCGACGAGATTATATACTGTTATATAAAGCGACCATCAAAAGCGGCCTGCATGCAGCAGCATGATGAGCAAGATGTTATCGACTTTTGACATAAATTTGCAATTTATTTGAATAATGTATTATTAAAATCATGATTTTTATTATACAAAAGCTTTACAAATAAGTATAAATATTTATAATTCTATATTATCATATACATATATTGCCGCAAAATTACTTTTTTTTTTCCAACTCTTTTATCCATATATCTCTCTGGATAATTAAACGCGGATGGTAACCATAAAAACGCGTGCAGTTTTAAATATGTATATAAAATTATAATTATTAGCAAGATATAATACAAATGAATTACAATGTACATTGATTTAATATTAAATCATAAAATTAATATTATATTATTGATTAATGGCTTAAATTTTAGCAATTATGTACTAAACAGCCGCACGCTAACTGATCCTGTAAGGCAGTCGGTCTTTAAATAGTATATCTCGTCGGTGCATTATCCGAAATGACTGCAGGTAATGTCATTGTTCTTTTCTTACCTCGTCGCAGTGCTTTGGCCTTCGCCCAGTTCGCGCGACGCGCATAGTGCCGCATAGGCATAGAGCATAGGTTAGGAAACGTCAAACATCTCGGTTTTCAAATCATTCGGGGAAATGAAAGAACTTGAAATAAAAATCTCGAAGCATCGTTACCGAATTCGATCTTCGTCTGCCGCATCTGCATATTGAACATAAAGCGTGTTTTGTCATTCGCGATATTTTTTTTTTTTTTTTTTACTCTGAATGGCACGTCTAACCCCCCGCGTAAGGACGACGCAAAAACGATGACCAATACTTCTGGGTGTGTTAAAGGTGTATATATAAGCGGATTTTCTGATGTGTGATGCCTAACCTTTCTTTCCTTCGATCTCTACATGTTTTTAAGTCAATTTTATAAGTTGTCTTTTACTTAATGAACACGAAATATTATTCGCGAAACAATTATTGGATTAAATATTGCATTTTGTAATAAAACTTGTAATTGATAATGTATGTACAGCATTCTCTTCGCCTCTAAACAGTCTAAACGGTCATGGCACACAGAAAAACTTTAACAATAAAGTAAGACGTAAGCAGTACGTACAATACGTTTGTAGTACCTATACAATACAGTTATGGCTTTATATTTTCGATTGGCTTACTGCTTAAGTTTTTCTGTGTGCCATAGCCCTAATGTGCAAAAAGTTCCAATAGCAATAGACAATTATAACTTTAGATTGCTAATTTAGAATATCATTTATTGTTTCAAATAATTTTAAATAATTGATGCAAAAGTAGTATTTATATGTATAAATTATATATATATATATATATATATGAAATATTTTGTTATTTAATTCATGTACATGTGACATTTTTGTTTTGTAGGTATTAACTGTGAGTACAGTAACAATGGATACTTTGTTTACTCCGAATATTCCCGATGAAGCAGAAGATATACCGCAAACGGATGAGCCAGTTTGGATTTTTGGGAAGAAGTACAATGCTATTAAAGGTCTAATAAATAATCAAAGTGTGAGTATTTTTGACAAAGTCGATTGTAAGATTGTATTAAATTTTAGAACTTGATGCAATACGAAGAGATATTCGATCCAAATTATGGTTTACCTATCGCAAAGGCTTTGTTCCCATTGGTGGCTGTAATTCTACATTTACATCTGATAAGGGTTGGGGTTGTATGTTGAGATGTGGGCAAATGGTTCTAGCCCAAGCCTTAATTACATTACACTTAGGTAATCATACATATATATGTATGTATATATTTTTATTACATAGCTAATAAATTTAATGTAATGCAGTCAAATCTTCCATTCTTCTTTTATCATTGTCAAATTCAACGACATATTGTAAGACTATCAAAGATTGTTAAAAAATTAAGAAAAAAAGACAATATTAATTTTACAATTTTCTATATTACTTCTAATGATTTTATAAGAACATTTTATTCTATATTTTTGTAGTTTATTTTGACATGTAAATAACTTGCCAGTTATCCTAATTAAAAAATTACATATAATATAACATTCAAGGAAAAATCACATAAATTATTATATAGTATAGCATTTTACTTGACATAGGTAAAGATTGGCAGTGGATGCCGGAAACGAAGAATAATACATACCTAAAAATTTTAAGACGCTTTGAGGATAAAAGAGCTGCTGCTTTTTCTATCCATCAAATTGCATTGATGGGTGCATCCGAAGGAAAGGAAGTTGGACAATGGTTTGGTCCTAATACTATTGCACAAGTATTAAAGTATGTATTATTAAAGGAATTTTAATTAAATAAAATTTTAATTTAAAGAAAATTTATTCTGTTTCTTATGTATGATTTGAAGAGAGCTAAAGAGAAAGAGAGGAGAGTCGCTGCGTCGATAAAATCTGACAAAATCTAACAAAAATTATATTTGAAATTATATATTATGAGAGAAGTACATTTCATATAACTTAATGAAATGTTTTCATAAATTTAATTTTTTCTTATTTCTCTTTTGTTTTAGAAAATTAATTGTGTATGACGAATGGAGTTCTCTTACTATACATGTTGCACTAGACAATACCTTAATAATTAATGATATTTGTAAGTATATAGTTATATTGAAATTATATTTTGTGGCAAAGAATAAACAAATCTTTTAGCAAATATTAAGGAATAGTAATAAATTGCATATAATTAAAGAAGAAATATGCCTTTAATTAACTAATTAAGAATCAAGTATATCAAACATATTAATTAAATGTATCATTTAATATTCATTTGACAATACATGTTTGTTCTTTTAAAAAATATACAAATATACTAAATAAAACAAAGCTTATTTTTTGCTATTATGGAGAGAAACTGACAATTAAATACGTTATAATTAAACAGTTATACTGTACATTATATTTTTTGAATAAATTTAAATTACTTTGTGCAGTGGGACAATGTAGAGTAGAAGGTGGTGTAACAGCAGAAGCAGATGGAGAAATTCCTCTAAGAGCACCTAGCCAGTGGAAACCGTTGTTATTATTGATTCCGCTACGCCTTGGACTCAGCGAAATTAATCCTGTATATATTAATGGACTCAAGGTAAAAATTTTTGTATATATGAAATATTACATTTAAATGCTATCATGTTAACAGGTAATCGTATGAAAATATGTTATCATATCATATGTGTGTGCGTGCGTGCGTGCGTGTAGTCTCCTATCTTAAAATTGCCGTTAGACCTCCTCGCGCGTGCGTGTAGTCTCCTATCTTAAAATTGCCGTGTTACCTGCGTTGAAGCCTCTTTTCCCCAATGTTTAAAAATTCATATCTTCCAGAAAAATAAAGATATAGACTTCTTTCATCTTAAAGATGAATTATGTGGCTATTTTTTAAGAAATCGTGATTTTATTAAAAAATGGCCGATTAAAACGTCATTTTTTTGAAAATTTATTTTTTTCAAAAATTGTTAAAATTTGTTTAATTAAAATGGATGGTGATGGTGGGTGGTAATAAGTGGTGGTGGTGGGTGAGGGTGGGTCAAAAAACAATTTTTATTTTAAAAATCAAATGATATAAAAAAATGTCAAAAAAAATGTTTTTATTTTAATAATTAAATGATATAATAAATTATAAAAAAAAATTTTTTTATTTTAAAAATTACATTATATAAAAAATTTTTTAAACAAAATTTTTTTTTTTAAATCACATGATATAAAAAATGGTGATGATGAGTAGTTGTGATGGGTGATAGTGGTGGGTGATGGTGGATCAAAAAAAATTTTTTATTTTAAAAATCACTATAAAAATTTTTCAAAAAAAAATTTTTTATTTTAAAAATTACGATATAAAAAATCATAATATAAAAACTTTAAAAAAAAAATTTGTTTACTTTAAAATCACATGATATAAAAAATGGTGGTGGGTAGTTGTGGTGGATGGTGGTAGTGGGTGGTGGTGGCGATGGTGGTGAGTAGTGGGGGGTGGTGGTGGTGGGTCAAAAAAAAATTTTTTATTTTAAAAATCACATAAAAAATTTTGTAAACAATTTTTTTTTTTTTAATCACATGATATAAAAAATGGTGGTGGTTAATAGTTGTGGTGGGTGATGGTGGTGGGTGGTGGTGGATCGAAAAAATTTTTATTTTTAAAATCATATAAAAAATGTTCAAAAAAAAATTTTTATTTTAAAAATCAAATGCCATGTTATCTGCATTGAAGCTTCTTTTCCCCGATGTTTAAAAATTCATATCTTCCAGAAAACTAAAAATATCGACTTCTTTTTGGGCTTATCTTAAAGATGAATTATGTGGTTATTTTCTAAAAAATCGTGATTTTATTTAAAAATGGCCGATTTAATATGGTCGATTAAAACATCATTTTATTGAAAATTGTTAAAATTTGTTTAATTAAAATGTAATTTGGTATAAATGTTATTGGATGATGTATGGAGTTTAATACGCACCGCGCGCAAAGCGTCATTTTTTTCTTTTTTAATTTATTTTTTATCAAAAATTGTTAACATTTGTTTAATTAAAATGTAAATTGGTATAAATGTTATTGGAAGATGTACGGGATTCGATACGCAGCGCGCGCGAAGCGCGCGCCTGTTATGTACTAGTATAATCTGAAATACACGTTATGAATTTGTAAAAACTTTTTTCAGACATCATTCAAGATCTCACAATCTCTTGGAGTAATTGGAGGAAAACCAAATCTTGCTCTGTATTTCATAGGCTGTGTAGGTTTGTAATTTTTGTAAATTTTTTCTCGTTTTATAAAAATATAAAGTTTATACAAGTTATTCCAAATGAATGCATAAAATAATCATTGGTTCTAGGAGATGACGTGATCTATTTAGATCCTCATACCACTCAGAGGTCAGGTAGTGTTGAAGACAAGATAAGCGAAGAAGAAATTGAGATGGATATTACATATCACTGCAAATCAGCTAGTCGTATTCCTATTACCAGCATAGATCCTTCTGTGGCGCTTGTTAGTATTAATAAAGTTACTCTATTTACTGATAGAGAAAGAGAAAGAGAGAAGATAATTGAGAGAGAATATTGATACAATATAACGTTTTTAACATGCAATATATTAAAAAAAATTATAATTAAAAATTATCAATTCAATTCAATATTCGCAATAATTAATGATTGAATATATTGGACTATTTTATATAAATACATTTATGTATACTATTTACTGTGTAATTATAAAGACTATGTTATGTGATTATTAATATATTAATAATTGATCTATTATATTTTTTAGTGTTTCTTCTGTGCTACAGAAAAGGAATTTAAGTCTTTATGTAAATCAATGCAAGAGGAATTAATTTTGCCTGAAAAACAGCCATTGTTTGAGCTGTGTACAGAGCGTTTGGCACATTGGTCACCAGCAGATGATGCTGTTTCGGAAGCGATAGCAGCTTCCAGTTGTAAGTATCTAAATAGTTATCACTAGGATGCGAATGTTTGGCCACGATCTCGGGACGCGCGCGGAGAACCGTTGCGTGCGAGTTAGTTGGATGCTCGATGAAATGAGACAGCAACATTTGTCGAGGAGACTCAGTTTTATGAATTATTAATATTTCTGTCAATTTCAATTCAAGTTAAGTTTTCCTCTAAAGATTTCGGCATTTTAAAGAAAAGCGTTCTCATGCGATCTCGAATCAATACAGAAAAATACAGAAAAAAATCTCTGCACTTTATTTATATTGAGTAGGCCGCGCTGCAGCTGAGATAGATATCATCAGATATCATATTCGGATAGATCGAGCTTCAAGTCTTCTCGAGAAATGCTATCTCATTTCAGCGAGCATCTGACTAACTCGCACGCAGCGGTTCTTCGCGCGCAGCGTCTTCTCCTCAGCATCGTGTCCAAACTATTGTATACATGTATATTTATTAGCTTAAAATAATTTTAAAAAATTTTGATTATTGATCATTTATTTGTAAATAAAAGAATTTATTTACAAACAATTATTACACAAATATAATTCTTTGTATAGTTGTAGACTTTGAACACATTGAGCGTCAATACGACACATCTGATGAAGACTTTGAACTGCTTGGTTGACATCCACCTAATTCATCTAGTATTGCGACAAGATGCAAACTAATTGAATATTATAAAGTGATGTTCTTAAAGACTATTTGTATTTTCTAGTGCAATGCAAAGTTAAAACACACAATATTAAAAATTTCGCGCGCGCGCGTGTGTATGTGTGTGTGCGTGCATGCGTGCGTGTAATAATTTGTGTAATATAATAATTAAATTGCATACAATACATATATATATATATATATATATATATATATATATATATATATGTTTAAGTCATGCATTTGCGCGACAGGCATCAACAAGTGCATACATTCGTGCTTTACGAAGATTTTTATGTCGCTGTGGTATTGCATTAATTATTTACCATTTTCATTTGATTATACATGTGTAATATTTTAAAATAAAAAAAATATGAACCAGATAATTTTTTAAGATTTTTGAACGTAAAGTTAAGAACTTAAAAAAATTGTCTCTTGTACTCGTGAGCTATGATAAGTACGTAAATCGCTGATATTTAAAAACTCTCTGTCATACATGACGAAAAAGCGTTTTCTAAAATTTTCTTCAATTTTTTTAACGAGTATGTGATGTATATTTCGACAATAAGTCGATACTATAACGAATAATATAACACACACATACATAGAAATAATATTTTAATATTATTAAAGTTAATACTTTAATATTAACTTTAGGTTTAAATAACAAACTCATATTGTTATAAATATAAAATTTGTACCAAGTTTTTATTAAAGAATTATACTAAGGGAAAGAAAGGCAGAATTAACTTTTATTTTCAAAGAATTTAATTTTACTTAACATAATTTTTGAAAATCTGAAACATTTATGGAGATTATTTATAAATCTATTATTATTCATATAAAAATTGTACAGATTTTCATGAAGAGAACTTGAGAAATTTTTTTTGTGTACACAGAAGTTAATCATATCTCGGGATTCGGAAAATCTCTTAATATCACATGGATGATTTTCATAAATTTATTCAACCTGTTTACTCTTTTCTTCATTTCAGTTTCCATTTCTGCTCGTGTATTTTGCATATATTATAGTATTTAATATATTAATATTACCATACATCACCAATACCACGTTAGAAATTTTAAAAAATTTTTAGAAAAAAAAACACATTTACATCTTATCGAGTTTGGCACATTCTATATGTATATATAATACATTAACTTATTATTTTATGCTGCGGCATTTTTATTGATAGATCAAGGCTATGAATTGGAAATATGAGAGGAAACACTTATTGCAGATCGCATGTTTATAAGAATATGATGACGGTATACAATCCCAAATTCTGGCAATATAGGTAAAACAATTACATTAAAAATTATTTTGAGGGAACATTATTTGAAAGACTGTTCAAAAATCGATTTTAAGTTGAAAGTAAAACTAATTACATATTGCCTAAAAATAAATAATACTTATGAATTGTATAGTAATCGTTACTTCTGGTATCAGAATATCAAGTCTTACTTATACATATGAACAAAGTCAAGGAATTGAATTTCTAAAGAAATATACAACGAAGGCGAAGTTAAGCATGTACGAAAATGAAAGAAGAATACTTACATGTTTATGCAATAAAGTTTTGCATAGTATTCTTTCCGATTTTTATTATCAAGATTATAATTTTATTTTTCATTCGTTTTTTTTTTTCACAGTAAATTGATTGGATTGATTAAACATATGAAAATCTTACAATTCTGAATTTATCTTATTTTTCAGCTTTCACGAGATTGAAACAAAAGATTTGCCGGCTATATTCAATTACATCTTTGATTATACAGAGCATTTATACTATATCGGTCATTCGATGGGAACTATTTCGCTATTCACTTTTCTGTCAACAAAAACAAAACCGGAATACAATATAAAAATAAAAATAGCTATTTGTCTAGTTGTCTATTTAGCTATTTGTCTCCGGTTGTTCTTGGATGGACACCTACATTTAATGAAATATTTAATAAATTGCCAGCACTGCTCCAACTTTGAAAATAAACGCAACTTTTTATTGCACAAGCAGTGGTATTTAAAATACAGTCGGAGATTAAATAATTATTTATTTATATTACACTTAATGTGTTAAAAATGTTAGCTATTACGAGCTAGTACTTGAATGTTTGTTTTATACGTTCCAGGAAGTTCTAAAAGAGCGTGAAATATATATGACGTTTTCTCACAATCTTTAAAAACTGTTACAGTAGCAAGAACGTTAATGAAACGAGATAATGCAATAACTCAGATTATTTGCGTCACTATATTGTTCTTAATCGTCGGTCCTGATCAAATACTTAACACTGTAAGTTTTATTTTATTACACAATGTGAAACACAATCATAAATACAGTATATATAATAGCATACTCTTTATTATATTATATAAACTTACTAATTTTTTATAGTTTTATATATATAAATTTACTGCGCTATGACTATATCCACTTCTCTTATTTGTCTTCTTTTTCCTTTTATAATTATTAATTATTCTATGACTTTTCATCTGTATAAATTATTTCTGTTATAGACACCCTGCCAGATTTGTTTTCTCATTGGCCAGCCTCTATCTCACTTCTGTACAAACGTTAATTCATCATTATACTAAAATATTATCGTATGAATGAGTATTTCCTTTTGTATATAAAGCAATAGCCTAATTAATGTATAATATTAAAAGAAAAAATCAAAATTTCCATTATCGTTTAAGATGAGATCGTTGAAAAATCAAAATTAATTTTTAATTGGGTACATGTATGTGTAACAATCGTTTAATCTTTTTCTTCACACAAATGTAGTTTTAAGTTTTGAATACATATTTGGATTATTTCAGATAATTGTCGAAATTGTGATTATAAAATAGCTGAAAGTTATAAGCGATATAAACAGAAAACACCTCCAAGTTATGAGTTTTTCCTTTTCATGCAGCAAATGATATGGTTAATATAGAACAGGTAATAACAGTTCTCTTTTTAATTTTTGATTGCTTAATTTTTACTCACAAAAAAAAGCAAAAGAAATTTTTACACGAATATGACGAAAGGGTGACCACGTAATTGTTAACAATATAAAAAATTCGATTGAACACAAAATGTAAAGAGAAAGATAGTTGATTTAATTATTATAATTTATATTAACTGAACAATTTGTTTTTAATTCTTTATACGTTTAAATCAACTCGTTATTATACTATCCTTTTTTACGTTTTTGATTTTCAGAGTGTGTTTGAACTTTTCAAACGCTTACCAAATGTTCTTCTAACTAAGGAAATCCCATATAAACTATTCAATCATGTTGATTTCACATGGGCAATCGACGTAAAAACTCTTTTATACGATTATATGTTAGAACTAATGGAAAATTGATGCTAATCCAAGTATGACATATTCTAATGAATGTAAATCAAATGTAGAGAAATCCTAATCTATCTCTATTCTATGTAATGAAATGTTAACGGGTAAACGAGAAATTACTCAAAAAAAATAGGTGCATATTCTATTTTTTAATCAGAATATACCTAATCTTGTTGCGTAAAATCAGTAAAATCACAAATCAATACTACCTTTGACATTATTAAGCGAATTCAATAATAATCTGAAATGGAAGATGTCAATTATTTTAAGATTATACAAAGTGATAAAGAGAATGTAAACGCTTATAATGCATCGATGTAACCCCGATTTGATTTCGACATCTTTATATATTAAATGCATTATTACAAATACTTGTTTTTACTTAGTTATTACAAATATATGTTTACGTATTACACAACGAATACAAATTAAGAAAAAAAGAATCTCTTTTTATTATAATAACAGTCCTAATTAATGTTATAAATGTGTGTGCGTGCGTGCGCGCGCGCGCGCGCGCGCGCGCTTATGTGTAGTTAAATAATAAATAAAATAAAAGTGTACTTCCGTAATTTTTATTATATAAGACAAGATATCTGAAAAGTTATCCATATCAATATCGCAAAATTGTTTATTCCAAAAAAAAAAACACAAAATATCATTAAAGTTTCTCTGTCCACTGCTATAACTACTACATTGAATTATGAACGGAGTTTTGATTGTAATTTCTTTCGACCTGTAAGAAAAATGAAGAAAAAAATTCTTGTCCAATTTCTCGCTTTGAGTGCCACAATTTGATAGAATTAAAAAAATCTTATGTTATGAAAATTGTATGTTAAATTATTGATATTTAGGTGCCATTCAGATGCCTTGTCTTATAAAAAATTTGTAGAATAAATGAATTAAACTTTTGTGTCATCTAAATCAAATTTTGTTGAAAAAAAAACTCGAATAGCTATACCTCTGTAATACATATGAAGATTATAATCTATCATACTTTTACAATTAGTATTATATATTTTTTAATTAAGTCTTTTAAATCAAAATTTTATTAAAACAAGACACTGACTTGTAATTAAAATATAGTTTGTTATCTATTTGATCCTTGAAAACTTGATCCAATAATTCAAAAATTCTATTAATATTTTTTGATAAAAAGTCGATTTAAATTTTGAAATTAATCAAAATATCTTTCCTCTTCTTCTTCTCAGTTATGTTATCGTTATTTAACTCATTTATTCCGACATTTTGTATAAATCAGAAATGTTGCGTTATTCGACAAAAAGTATACATTCATTGTTTAAGTTTCATTAGATATTTGCTCATATATCTTATAAATTAAATATATTTGAACTTTTATATTATTAACCTATCGAGAAAGAGCAGTTTCTTTTTGTTAATCTACTTTTAAATTTCTTAATGATTCATATTTAATGATTAATACTGAACGTATATAGAAATGCCGCGCGTGTATAATCGATCGAACAATAAAATGAACCTAGAGTGAGCCCGGTGAACCAAGATAATAACAGAAAGAGCGCAAGAAATAAAATCAAAATGGAAGCTCAGCTTATTAAAAATAAGAAATAGTATTAAGAATAACGGAAGCTTGTTTACGTACCTGTGTAAGTACGACAGTGTGTGTGTGTGTGTGTGTGCGCGCGTATACTCGTGTTTGTTAATTATAAAAAACGATTGAATTACAAAGTGTTTAAATTATTTGTGTATGCTTAAATATAATATATATATTTATCTCACTGATGTGCATGCATTATATTTGAAAACATACTATTCTATATGGTTTTACAAGTATAAGAAATAAAAATCTTTAGGGGAAAAAAATTAATTTCAATATATATGTCTTGCTAATATAAGAGGTTTCTTTTTGATCGATAAACGAGTTTTCTGTTCGTTACGATTTAAATTTATATGCGTAATAATCTATTCATTATATAACTATCATATCTTGACTGTATTATTCAACAAAGAACACATGCGATCATGTGAATCGCTGTCTTAGGAAACAACATGTTGCAGCAAAGGCAATTTTTTTTCGGTACTAATTGTCAGCAGTCACATTCAAGTGTACAATATGAAATTTGTACCTTGTCTTGACGGTTTAGTTTCTCAGGTTTCTCAGATTTTCAAATCTTGGCAATATAATCAGTCCTAATTAACATTTCTTTTCACAATGTTTAATTATCTAAAATGTATAACTTCTACGGCATTTTAGACCGTGCATTTCAACAGCGTTAGCCAAATGTTACAACGAAGTATCCGATGGTGGTGTACTTTCATGATGACTAATTTGACTTAGAGAATGTTGTAAAGCATCAGGCGTTAGCCATTCCTTTGGCAAACAACGTTGGAGAAACGGTACGCATGAACTGAAATATGCCAGACGATTTACCCAACCAGGTATTTCCTGTCCACATAGAATCTAAAATACATTGATTTTTATTACATTTTTCATGTAATTTGCTCTGATTAATATCGTTGAAAAAGAGCAACGCACCAACGTGAACTGACTGCTGAAATGATTACAGTTTTTATTCATCAAATGATAACGGTCCCCTCTAAAATCTTTACCCAATTCTGTAATAATTCTTGAAACATCTTCTTCTGTGAAATCTGTATATCCAATATGAACAGATTGTCTAAAAAATATAAAAATAAGAGAAATGCATTGATTTTTCAGGGCACGTGAAGGAAAATATATGCTTGATTTGTGTTGACATAAAAACAAATACATGTATGTACAAAACCTTACCTATATCTAAATTGTTCGCCTAATTCTTCGGCTACTCTCGGGGTGATTTCAAAAATGCCACTTTTTGGTTGAGCATGACCACCGTATGCATATTCTATAGTAGAAATATATTTGTCAAATTTGTCAATTTCTTTTACTTGTACTTTTTTTCCCCCTTTTCTTTAATACAGCACATACCTGTTCCATATATTTCTACTCCAGAGTGAAATACACCAAGACCAATAGGTGTGGTATATTCATTTATCCAATACTACAACATAATATTTAATAAATTAATTTACATCTAGTACGACTAAGAACGACATCTTCCGATTATTTATTTTTTATGAGTAGCATAATTTGGTTCTTCTGAAAAACTGATTAATCACTAAATTTATGAAAATTATCTCAACTGATAGTAAGAAGCGATTCATAATAATATTCATTTTACTTGTGCTATATTGGAATTGTACAAGCAACTTACCATATCATAAACATTAAGAATGATTGGCTCGCGTGCCATTTTTGGGATCAATTCCTCACTATCTTGTGGATAACCCAAACAACTGGGGAAGGAGAGATTACAGTTAAGGCCAGACGAAAACATCACTGGAACTTTGTAATCCACTAAAGTTGGCTATTAATGTTCTAATACACCTAATAAATAGATATACAATCTTACTTTTCCATATACAATCTCTGTATATACAATCAAGGAATTTAAAACTTAATTACTATACGATTGATTTAATAAAATATAGTTAAGTATAAGCTGGAAGTTGTAAAAGATTGACTTTTAGATACTCTGTCTGAAAAATACTATGTAAAGTTTACGCGTTTGTTTTTTTCTAAGTATTACAAATATGATCCAAAAGCATATACAGATGCACATGCACACACATATGCATAGTATCTCTTTTGACATATTGCATTTTTTAACAAAAGATTCTTTGAGCAATTTTGGAGTCGATATTTCGTTAACAATGACATAAATATATACTAATACAAATATTAAGTAAAAAAAGTAATACCTTTGGGTGCTGATATAATGTAGGCTTGACACACGTACACACGCACTAGTACACGTAATGGTCGTTAATGTTTTGTATTTAATTGCTAGATACATCCATTCTTGTAAGACTACAATATTTTATTATTCGCGTGCTTTGATGTTCTTTTTTCTTCTATCTTGATTTCTTAATATCGTACTATTACAGTTGTCTTAAGCCATTAAACATCGCACGTTACTTTGATACATAGTCATCTCTAATGTGAAATGAACAAGATGATTCATTCTACATTCGGAATACGATATTTTCCTTCGAATAATAAAGAGCCACCTTTTAATTAAAAATATTAGATATCACTGCGTGTGTCTGTGAGTGACCGTCTGCTTTAACTACGTTTTAACACAAGTCACAGAGAAATAAAGAATACAATGTAATGTTATTCGCGAAGTGACAACCCGTTAAATTCCTCAAAGTAATGCACAAAATTCAAGTTTGCAAGCATGCTACACGGACATTAATAATTTATTTTTTGCTATAAGATTAAGAGCAGCTTGAGCTGCTATTAAAGATTTTGTAAACGGTTCTCTAGCGATTATTTTTTTCCGAAACTGATACTGATAAATGTCACTTCTCGCCTCGTCTCTCGTTTGAGAGTCGGTATAAGAATGTATTTGTCAATGCGCGTCATCTGTCGAGGCGCTTACAAGCATCTAGTTTAAGCACTAGCCAAGCGTATACCAGAGAGAAGCATGCTTCTCTCTGCGTATACATATGATATGAAAAACACCTTGACTCGCACTCGCACCCCCCCGCTGGGGGGTAGCAAGAACAGCAGAAGGCAAAAACTATTAACTACCAACGCGAGTTCTGATTGGCTTCTGCTTTTCTGTTTTCCGCTTTTCTGTTTCAAGATGTGAATTCGCCCTTACATCATGGCATTCGTGGCATATTGATGCCTGCCTCATGCCACTGCCATGCGCGCCAAGTGCCAAGTGTATGTACTACATACACTACGTAGTTAGTAGTAGTTTATCAGCTGATTTTGCTAATGTATCCTAACGGATATGTCCTCAAAGAATTAATACTTGTTGACGAGCTAGCGTGAATGGTCAATCTTGTTCTCGATTTTTATAAAATTGGACAGTGATACTTAATAATGGGTCCTTTACAAATAATTGCGCGAACCAGAAAAATTGGTATGATGTCCACATAATTTTTGTGACAAAAGTCACAGATCTTGATTATTCTTCCTCTTCCATTTCGTTTCTTTCTCTTTATTTTGTCTGTACTGAAACACTGCAGTTACAGCTACGTTTTTCTCTTATTATATTAGCTAATTAGCCTAGAACAAAGTACCATTTTCAATGTTTGTTAAATTTACAGATTGCATTACATACCAATATATGTTGATTACAATTTATGTGCAACTATTCCCTCTTATTATTTTTATTACCCTCTCACTTATTCTATTTTTTATTGTATTTAATTAGACTGCAAATTTATCAAAATTGTTCAATTTGTATAATAAAGAAAACTTTCTTAATGTCTGTAGCAAAATTATAATAATAAATAATTTTAAAACTTATATAAATGTTTTAGCTCCAAGATTTCTTAGGATTGTCCCAAATGGAGTAAATACATATTTGATTCGAAGTAAATATTATTATGTAAATGAAGAAAAAGATAAAACCTGGTCAGATATTATGGAAGCTGCAACTACACATATGTTTTTTCATGAAATGTTTCGAGGATTTGGAATTGTTTTGTCTCAGATACTTAGGGAACCAGCGACGATAAATTATCCTTTTGAAAAAGGGCCTTTGAGTCCCAGGTTCAGAGGAGAACATGCCCTAAGAAGGTAGATGTTTATATAAACTACAAATACGTTGCAATTGTTTTCTGATACTGATTTATATACCTATATATTTTCTATATTTTGACATTAATCTCATTTATTTTATATTTGTAATTAATAATATAATAAGATATACTGCAGCTTATATAGTTTGTATTTTCAAATTTTTGATACATTTTATTTATATAGTCAACGCAGGCACTGATGTTTATGACAAGGAGAAAAGAAAAATATGACAAATTAAATTTTTCCAAATATTAAAATATTTAAACGTTAAATTCATTGAATCTTTTGGGGGATCCTTCAGGTATCCTTCTGGAGAAGAAAGATGTATCGCTTGTAAATTATGTGAAGCGATATGTCCTGCGCAAGCTATTACGATCGAGGCGGAAGAAAGGGCAGATGGATCTCGACGGACTACAAGATATGACATTGATATGTCTAAATGTATCTATTGTGGCTTCTGCCAAGAAGCTTGTCCAGTAGATGCTATTGTTGAGGTACAAAGTGAATGCAATTGTTAATAAAGAGATAGAGAGGAGAGAAGGAATTTTATAATATTGATAAATGAATTATTTCACAGGGTCCCAATTTTGAATTTTCAACTGAAACTCACGAGGAAATGCTGTACAACAAGGAAAAGCTGTTAAATAATGGAGATAAATGGGAATCTGAGATTGCTAGTAATATTCATGCTGATCATTTGTATCGTTAAACATCGTGTTGTAATGTAGTCATATTTAATAATCAAGTAAAAAGGGTATGGAATTGAATATCGAAAAAAAGTTCTTTTCCTACCGTTAGTTATGTATACTGATGACATATGTTTAAGTAAATCAAATAAAAGGTTACATATATATATATATATATAGTTAAGTGTGGCTAAATATTTTTTAAATTAATATTTACACAATAGAACTATTGGCGAAACTTAAGATTGCCCAAGAGTACCGAGAGGTGCTCTTGGACAATCTTAAAGACGGCCGGCCAAAGGCAAATTTTGAGCCTGCCCAATGAGTATAACCAAATTAAATGATTGGTAATGTCATCGTTCCTCAATTACTCCCGGGCCCACTTGACAGGATTATATGAAAATTTGCCTTTGTATGTATATATACTATAGAATATAGTTACAACCCGTAATTTTATAAATATATGCGTATTTTTTTTTTTTAAATATAGATCGTCGATGATGGTGCGGTGATACTATAGATATAGTATAGATCTCCATTACATTACCCACTGCAAGAAAATTATTACGTTATCGACAGCTGATCTAGAGTTGCTCTATCTTACCGATAGGACTTATTACTACATATAATAGTGTCTAGTAGTCTGTAAAATGTGTCACCGCCAAACGCCATGATGCCCAAATGCAAATACTCATGTCATTTCTTGAATGAAAACCTTTGTCCAATTCTTTCTTTTTTAATTAATAAATATTAAATACTGTAAAAATAATGGTATGTAAGCACGAAATTCAATCACGCCTGCAGCAATATTGTTTGGAAAGTTGAATGTATTTTTAGTTAGGAAATAATTCGTTTTCAATCATATATTAAAAGTATGACAGGGTTATTTGCATTCTGCATAGTCTCTTTAATCCTTTATTGTTTTTTTACTCGGTAAGTGCTCGGAAATTTATTTAAACATAATGTCAACTTAGTAGTGAAATGACAGTAGTGTATATCACAATTATCTCTATCCAACAGAGTTGTACCAAGGCTGTTGGCATGGATAGTGAAACGTCGTTATAAAATTCACTTACGAGTAGGCCATATATCTGTACCTTATTTTATCTTCCGTGATGTCAATGTAACTAAAAATGGCTTTACATTGGTAAGCTTTTCAAGTAATTGTCATTGAATGTTTAATTATGTTGTGTATTATAAAACAATGTTTAATTTTAGCAAATTGAAGAGATAAGCATACGCAGCAGTTTACTTAGTAGTGACGTAGCAAAACTCTTGGCTGTCGTTATGAGGGACGTCAGAATAAATAAAGATATTCCCGTTAGTCCGACGTGTAAGATAAAGCAGTCCAATCAACTATTAGATTTTAGAAACAAGAAAATACCTCCGATTATAATAAAATGCGTCCAGGTATGTGTGCAGCGCTAACGCTAAAGTTTCAAGATGTCACATTTTTCTATGTATTATAAAACTATTATATAAAATTCATTAGACAAACTGCATGTTTATTGATGATTTGTTTTAGTTTACAGCTGTACATGTAGAAAACATTAGTCTACTGGCTCTCGGCAATGGTTGGTTGGCTAATGGGAATGCAGAAAGCCTAAGCTTGGATGGCAGTATTGTACATGGTGCACGTACGTTATTAGCATCCGCCTCTATTGTTGGTGGAACTATGAAATTACTACGACATGCTTCCGATGCATGTCTCTCTCAAATAACATTTGCTGGAACAGTAGAAGCCACGTTTAAAGCTAAAGGAGAACTCTCGGTTGAGGTATAGCATTAAAAATTTGTTGCGTTAATACTTGAAAATCGATATAAAGGGAAAAATTAGTCACTTTTGATAGCCATTATTATTATAATTTTAAATGAAATCTATATACTTTGCGGTAGTAAATAGATTTTTAAAAAATCTATAGTCTGACCATTATCGACCATTTTCGAAAGGAATCACAAGTGGGATCTAATTTATAGACATTATGTATCGGAGTGACACAAACTGAAGGATCTGGCGGCGCAGGTCTCATTCAGTTCTTGAGAGATAGAAGTTCGCCAAGTACTACAGCTTGTACATGCAGCAATGTGCATAACAACTCCTCCAATAACTTAATGACTAGAATAGCACCTATTTTGCCGAAAGTAGGTATCTTCTGATTATAGATAAACAATAATAAAATAATACTATTAATTTATACATATATTACTATAATTACTCGCGCTACCTCTGCTAATACTTGCTGCAGGATTTTACATTGAAAATCGGCAATTCGTTGATAATAGCTGGTAGAGAGGACAGTAATATGGTAGGTTTGGAGGGTACCTTGAGAAGTCTTCAAGTCCATGCAAAGTTCCAAGCTAACAGGACGCGATTAAATTTTACTGTAGGCCTAGACGGTTTGTGCATCCGCGGAAAACTTCCTATTTTAACTCTACATTCGTTGTCGATCGATACAAAGGTAAGAGTTGACAATACATTTGTGTGCGTAAAAACACGAGAGAATGAATAATTTTTAATCACACTCTTATTTCACTGTTCAATTTTGTACAGATGGAGGAGAATATTTTGTGCGTTGACGTACAATTGAATAATCTTTCAATGATGTATGATCATAAGGATTGGGAATTATTGCTATACAATAATGAAAATAATATTTCAAAACCTGTTGGCAACATATCGTTGAAAGATAGATTACCGAGCCTTGAAATAACATTAAATACCGAGTTGTATGATTCTTCATTGAACATAAAATTACCAGATGTGCAAGAAGCATCTTGTGGTGTCGCACATATGAAATTTGCCTTGAACTCATTTACAGGTGTGTATTGTGCGTGAGTTGCGCTTTTTATTTTATTTTATTTTACCTAATTAATTCGTAAACTAAATTCGTTAATTTCTGCGATGTTTTTTTTTGTATCATAGACAAAACCAAGAACTTAAATACAGAATTGGTCGTCGAATCTTTATATTGTGCATTGAATGGCGCCAATAATAGCATCTCTGAAACCTCTCATCAATGGGGCAGCCCACTTTCCATTGGGGTATTGTTAGCGACAACTCGTAGCAATGCTATAGGAATTGCTGTTGATGCTCTCGTAACTGAATGGAGTTTAGAGTTTGCGAAATTTCTCGAGCAAGCTTACAAGTAATGCAATAAAGACATTTACGCGATTTATTATTAATACTATAAAATGGACACACGCGCGCGCGCGCGCGCGCACACAGAGGGCGGGTGAAATAATTGCAAAAATAATTGTAGGTGCTACAAAAAGTATCGACAACCAATGGAGAAAAAGAGGAATACGATGTCACACAATTCTATTCAATTGAATCTTAAAGTAACAAACTGCAATCTATTCTTCATTGCAGAAAACGAGCGTAAGTATTTAATGGTATGCCACGTTATTAATTATACCGAAAATTTTTTGTTTACGTTGTGCGCATTTGTTTTTTTTTTATATTTTTAATTTTTTTAATTTTTTAATTTTTATTTATTTTTAGTATCTATAATGATGCGCTTGGACGTAGCGAGTGTGGAGCAAAACGCAAAGCGATTCGTAGGCGTAGCGGAAGGTATGAGTGCAATAACTCTTCACAAAAACGAGCCAATTATGTGCCAACACGCGCAAGCTTTAACACATCCCTTTTTGGCAATACGAAAATGCAAAGCTGCGATTAATTCTGACGCCGTAAACATTAGTCTGGACGGTACTAATCTGGCATGGAGTCCTAATTTACATCTTCGCTTGTTACAATTCTGGGTGGAGTCTGAAGATTTTAGATCTATCCTCAGAAAAGAAATGAGTATGACTCGTATCGAAGGTAATAAAGCCGTGAATTATTATCGTTGAATTAGAGTCGCGGTGTCAAGTTTATTAGTTTTACAAGTACAATACGATAATTGTTAATTCGTGGGGTGCAATGACATTTACTTTATTTCCAGAAGTGCAAAGAAAGAAACGCGTTTTGGATTTACTAGCCACAGGCGGGATCACCGTCTCTATAGATATTTCTACTAAACATTTCTTAATATTGACATCCGATCAGTTGCGTTGGTCACAGGGCGAGTGGAGACTCACCTATGTTCGAGTTACCCTAGATATGGCTGATGTAATTATGATCGAGGGTTTCGAATTAATTAGAATAGCCGATAATGCGGAAGTGCGAGCAGAGAGACAAAGTAACGATGGTTTCGTATTGGATTGGAACGAGTGCTGGGCGCTGAGCATCGATTCCATTAAAATTAGTTTTCCGTATGAGCATCAGTTTACAAACGCGATACAAAATGAATTGCTCAGCATCAGAAAGTGGCTGAAGGAGATCCATTCGTCGAGCATATCTAGGCAAGAGTCCCTGCCCTGCGATTTGATGATCAAAATCAAAGAGTGGACGTTTGAGCTCAGCGATGATCCGTTTGAGGTACGTCTGCGCGACAATTACGAGTTGTTGGAGGACGAGTACAAGGAGAGCTTGAAACGTCAGGCGATGTTGGATGCCAAAGTACAGGAACTTTGTCGCGCGCATCTATTGCTACCGCAAGGAAAGGTCGAAGAATTATACGCGAGCTTAAATAAGAAAAACGCGGAGATCTATGTGCAGAGATGGAAGCAGATGCAACGGGCGGGCCCCGCGAGGACTCGATTGTTCGCCTGGACCATGTTGGACTTGGAGATATTAGCCCTGGCTGATCCGTCGATAAACGGTACGGAAAAGGCAGTGAGAGCACTCCGAGAGATGGATTCGGAAACACCTTGGCCCGAGGATGGTCTGGAATTCAACACCGTGTGGGTTCGCGGTATTAGCTTGAAATGCGCCGAGTGGAAGCTGCAACTTCGCGATTTCCCGCAGCCGCTGCTTTTGGTAGAGAATCTGAATGTGTGGGGCAGATTAGCCGGAGCGGAAGCCTTGGCGCCACCGAGGGCGAAGAGGACCGTCAGAATTGAAATCGGCGCGCCATGGGAAGATATAGTAGTGGAGAGAGGAATGACATCTCTCAAGTATTATCACGATCTCAATTGGGACATTGACACATTCAGGTACGCGTTCGGTCCATGCTGGGAGCCGGTGATAGCGCAGTGTAATCTCAGCTTCGAGAAGATCCTTCATCCGTCGAGGGATCCGAGCCCGCCGTTGCCGTTCTGGGATAAAATGCGACTGGCTCTTCACGGTAGACTGACGCTCTGCGTGAAACAACTGACGGTTCTGCTGCACGGCTCTCTGGATCCATACAACACTACGGAAGAGATGGAGCTGACGTGGACCGGACTGGAGCTCGACTGGACGCAAGGAAAGATCATTATTAAGGGTGATCTCGACGTGTACGTGCGTACGGCCAGTAAATACGACGATTGCCGACTACTACATTTGCCTAACGTCAGATTGAGCGTTAAACTGGCATGGGTATGCCTGGGCGATCCGCGTGATCATCACGCCGCTATACCCTGCGCCCCGGATCGATTGCCCGAGTACTCTAGCAATCAGGAGCACGATTCGTTCAGGGCGTTTCGCTCTCAGAACCTAAACGTCAGCCTGTCATTGGAGACCAAACCGACCGGCTCGCCTACATTGGCCAGTGCGCCAACGGCACTGCTCTACGGCAGCACGTTGAGATGGTTCGAGAATCTCAAATTAATTTTATCAGGCGCGACGAGACCGACGCGAAAGGGGCCGTTGTTCAAGAACATTCGACCGAGGAAGAAACAGCTCAGCAGACACTACAGGAAAGTCCGGCTGACCTTAGCCTTCCATCGTTTCCACGTCAACTACTGGATGTCGTTCGCCATGCAACGAGGCTTCGAAGTGACCGGCGGCCGAGTCGCCTGCAGCTCGGAGCACAATCTCGCGTTACATCCGATTGACGACGGGCTGATTCATCGACCGCGGGCAGAATGGTCTATCGTGTACATGAACTGCGAGCTGAGCGACGCAGAGATCTGGCTGAAAAGCGCCCTGCAGGAAGACGAAGTGGAGAGCGCGTCACTGCGCCAGCCGGTCGAGAAGTGTTACTGCTTGAGCGTGGCGCGCGTCAGCTATGGCAGGGAAGCGATGGTTGCCGGGGTGAGTGGCGACACGCCGATTCATCGATTGGTCGTGCACGATCTGCGCGGCGCTTGGACCAAGACCAATCGTGACGTTGCCTTCGCTCTCTTCGATTCTTTCATCAAGACTCAGCAACTGAAAAAGAATCTGTCGACCGCGGCGCTCAAGGGTTTTCACCGGGACAACAGCTCGACGCTTAATCCGCACAAGAACCGTGCTGCTGCTACTGCTGCTACTGCTGCTGCTGCTGCTGCTGCTGCTGCCGCTGCTGCTGCCGCTGCTGCTGCTGCTGCCGCCGCCGTCAGACCGACCGTGGTCGATCAGCAAGGCACCTCCACACAGGTCGTAACGCCGTCGTCCTCCGCCGTCGTGAAGCCGCAGCAAGGTGAGGCGGCAGGAATGTTGCAGAGACTGATAGCAGAGGCCACGAACAAACCTGTGGCTTTCAGCGACGATCTATCGGTGCAAACTAGGGGGCAGCAACTGCGCGGGCTAGCGGCATGTCATCAGGACGACGTCTTGCACAAGAACTGGCTAAGTAAGTATAAATATAACGACGACGTTTCTATTTTAGAGTAAAAAGTAGGATAAAATTACGAAAAAATTTAATGACGAGAGACAGTTATAGTAAACGCGAAATCTTCTTTTAGTCGCTCTGGTAAACAGCCAAGTGCTATTGAAGGGCATTGAGACCCGTGGCTACGTGATTCTGTCGGCGGCGAAAGCGGAAATACTACAAAGAGTTCATCATCCAGTTTGGAAGGAGCGATCTCTCGTTCCGAAAACGACTTGGGTCGGCTCGTTAGAATGCATGCAATACTACGCTACTGTGAGCGCAAACATTGACGATAACATCGATGATAATATCATGTGGCTAACATTGGATAACATTCAAGTACGTTTGTTAGAACGTGTGAACGTGTGAATTATGCATGCGCAGAGAGCGCGAGCTACTAGTATAGTTTACTACATTATACATTGCTGTGTCGCGTTTTAGGAGAAAGATTCTACTATCATAGCCGGTCTGCCGGACGTCCCAGCTCTCGTGGGATCTGGTCAGAGCGTCGGCGGTGTGGTCAGTCAGACGGTGGGAGGCGGCGGTGGCCCTCAGCATCAATTGCAACGCATAGTGTCCCGATGCAAGTGTGAATTCTTCTACGTTGGTTACGGTCAGACCTTGGACGTGGGCTCGGTGGATCAAGTGCCGGCTCCGCCCGGAGAAGAGGTCAGCCCATGGGAGAGGAAGGATCTAACCGCGGCCGACGCGTTCACCTTGATGCATCACGATCTAGATGTGTGCACCAATTCGTTGCAATATGCGATGATCCTGGACATAGTCAACAATTTGTTGCTATACGTGGAGCCGAGGCGGAAAGAGGCCTCGGAGAGGTTGCAAAGGATGAGATTCCAGTTGCAACTGCATTCCATTGAGGACCAAAAAAGGCCGATACAGCAATTACAAAACACGGTACGCGGCTTGGTGGCAAAATTGAGACGGTTGGAACGCGAGACATATTTGGTGCAGAAAGCGTTGGCCGACGAGTCCAGTCCGGAATTGCTGACAGAGATGGAACGTTTGGAGGCGAGCGTATTCGAATGTAAGGAACAACTTGGCGCCAAGGCCGAAGAATTGGACGTTATGTTGAGTTGTTACAAAGAAACCACCGCGCCAGCGGCTGCGTCGACTACGCTCAAGGACAAGCCGGCCGCAGTGGCCAGGGTGGCTGAGATTTGCTTTAAACACGCACAATGGAGACTGACGGACGCGGACGGTCAGTTGGGTATCGCCGATCTCATTCTAACAAATTTTCTTTATACGAAAACTAGCAAGACCGATGACTCGGTGGAACACTTGCTGGAGCTGGGATATGTCCGGATGACGAATTTACTACCGAATCAGATTTACACAGAAGTACTTGTACCCACGGAGCTGCAGAGCAATATGCCTGTAGACCGGCAAAGAGCTCTTCGAGTCTTCTGCAGGGAAAAGGCGCCAGTAGCAGGGATTTCCGTGAAGGAACACTTTGAGATCAATGTAGTGCCTCTTACGATAGGTAAAACAAATGTATAATTTATGTTGTGTGTTGAATACGGCAAATACGGCCTCACTTTTGTCACGCATCATCTTATTATTCCATCTGTCACGTCTTCTTCTTTCCAGGTCTGACGAAGAAATTTTTCAATACCATGCTTAAATTTTGTTTCCCTGAAAGAGATCCGGAAGGCATAGAGGAAGCACCAGCGCCACAACGTGAATCGTCCTTTTACGTAGCTATCGAGAGAAGAGACGATGTGGAGAAAATGAAGGAAAGAGCAGACAAGAATAAATTGTTCATATATATAAAAATACCTGAAGTACCTGTACGAGTATCGTACAAGGTAACACAGTTTATTTGATCAAGTGGAATTAAATTTAATTTAATTTATGTCTGTTGCTTTCATTTGTGCATTATTTTTTTAAATCCAACACTATTTTTTTTTGTAGGGAAACAAAGAAAAAAATCTTGAGGATGTACGTGACTTTGCATTGGTCATACCGACTTTGGAATACCATAATGTGACATGGACATGGCTCGATTTACTTCTGGCCATGAAGAGCGATTCTAGGCGTGTAATATTGAGCCAAGCCATTAAACAAAAATTGCAAATAAAACCGAGAGGACCACCCGAGGAATCTACACCGCAGGAAGAGGACAAGGCTCGTCTTTTGTTAGGTACCAGACATCTTCCTGGGGATGCAAGAAAAAAAAGTGTGTTTAAATTTAAGTAATTTATATACCTCTGAGGATTTACTGTAACTATAGTAATTTATTTGTTGTGATATTGACATTATATAAACACTACGTTGCAAACTCACGTTTGAGTTTGTCATCTAATTAAATTGTACCAATAATTTTTAAGTGTTATATAAAAAAATCTTTATCTGTAAATAAATTTACATCTTTACACATCCACACATACATGTACACACTCATACATACATACATACATACACAGTATATACATGCATACTCAACATAACGCAAGTGACTCTCTATCGAATACTTTTTATCTGAAACATGTAGCTAATTTTTTGAGCCAGCAATTCTCGTGGATTTAATACAATATTTGTTACAATATTAAAGCGTACTTTGTTCAACTATCTATAAAATATGTACAAAATTATAGAGTTATTAGAGGTGTCTCTGCATTTTTCTTTGTGTGTCTCCATGCATTCAGATCTGCTAAAATTCGCCTGCCGTATGCCGTGTGAAGCTCACGAAAAGTTATTCTAGTCCTAGGTACATTTTCTGTCCTGCCAGGCGCCGATCTGACGCTCTGAGAACGATGATGGGAATCTGGTCTATTGAATGGATTATGTCGCTGTCTTGGTGGAGCCTTAGGGGATTGTTGAATCGGTGTGGATGCTGTTTCTTCCTCCACAGAATCCAACTGACGTTGTAATTCTGTCACCATAAGTTTCATATAATCATAACTGGCACATGCCAAGGCTTTCATCCATTGTTCCATGGATTCCTAGATACCGTCAAATCATCATCTCTCGTTAAACGCATTTACTAAACAAGGAAAGCGCGCACAAACATAAATATAGTATTAAAAACGTCCATTTACCTGAGACTCTGCCGCTAAAACATAACTTCTATTGTTTGGTCCGTGAAAAACTATCTTGAAGCCAAACTGTTCTTCATCCTCCGCCAGTTCAATCGTACAGCCTTCCAGTACAATCATGCCTACCGGCTCTTTGTCACCGCGACGATCAAAATAGAATAATATATTTCCTTTGAGAACGAACCATCGCCTCTGATATCCGCGATTTATCTCTCCACGTTTATTCAGCCAGCCCTCACGGTCTACCGGCGTTGCAGAAGTGGCAAATGCTACCATATTCTTCTCATTGATTTTCATGATTTTTATTAGCAACGTATACTCCAATCCAATCTATACACAATTTTCTGTCAACTAAATAACGACACAACCACATGCAATCAAGTTAAATTATAATAATAAAACAATTATAAAATAAAGCCGTAGTGGCATGAGATATACCTTTAGATTATCAAGAATAGATCATTCACAAATAAGCGCTTTTTGTTTCTTCACATCCAATATTGTTATCGTTATGTAAGAATGTACAGAAAACGTCAGGTTTGAATAAGTTTTAACATGTCATCTGCATAAAGAGTACTGCTGCAATACAATTACAAGCGTTGTATGTACCATTTGTGTCAAGTTTACATTACGTAGTAATAACCATTCTTCTTTATTTATTATAGAGAAAAAACTTGACAAAAAATATTAGAAGAAATTTCACTATCACTATATTGGTGCATGTACATACATACATACATCTTATACGTTTATACGTCGCCCAAGCATAGCATCACGAAAATTGTTTCAAACAAATTAAAATCTTTCATCGTACATACATACACACTATACGTTCAACACATCACACTGCAGAGCATGCAGTGTGCAAAGTGCAGTGCGCCATACGATATCATCAGAGAGGGAGGAGAGAGGATTGCCGACAGAGGCAACAGACTTCTCTCTAACTTGACCTGACAAACTTTTCCATGGATGTAACTTGTAAGTAGAGTGGAGACCCTCTAATAAGAATGGTCATGAAACGGCTACTTTTGATTGGTCCGCCATTTCTCAGCAATTCCCGCCTATAGTTGAACCTATATTCGTGTTACTTTTAAATTTAAACAATTATGTAATTAAAAAATTATGTAATATGTTAAAGGTATTAACAAGTAAATAAAATGCACATCCAACCATTTTTGTAATACTCTAATTCGTTTGCAAAGTGATTCTGTGTTTCACAAATGTTAGGTTATAGTAGAAACTAGAAATTCTAATTATAGAGGCGCAGTAAGCACGCGCACACACACACACACACACTCTCTCTCTCTCTCTCTTGCTGAAACCCTAGAGAAACCCTAATGAAAATTTAATCAACTATTTGATTAACTATTAGCAAGCTGTAAATATATGTATATATGTACATGTTAAAAAAAACATTGGTCTAATAATAAATCATAAAATTAATGTCATATTATAGGATAATTGCTTAAATTTTAACAGCCACGCCAACTTCCACAAGATTGTCGATCTTTAATAGTATCTCCTCGATGGTGTTGCAATATATACGTATATATGCATATGAGTATATGCGTGTTGTGTAGCTATTAAATTTTGTCGTCGATCCGAGATGAATATATATTTCAGCATATTCTTAAATTGTTTGCGTTTAAAGCGCCAACATCTAAAATTTTATGTTGATCTCAGAAAAATGAATTTTTCGCGTTTCGAACTTTGCCGTTACTTGGCCAAAAAACGAGGTAACGAATCCGATTGGTTGCAATGGCCATGTTGCAATTACCTTTTAAAATGAAGTGTGATGAGCGCTCGCAACCGCGTAAGAAAAATATATGTATTCGTAACAGCCGCGATGATAGTAGTGGTGAACTGCAGCGATGACCGATGATCGGTTACATCGCGCGGTTAAACAGAGACTACTCTTCAGAGACTACTTTCAGACGATTTCTTCAGAGTTAACCAGTATCAGTGTGCATGATATATATCGTCATATTTTGCATTGTGTCTTGAATATTGCGTATTGTGGCTATTTTTATATAAAATTGCTGTCTGAAATTGCGTGAGAAGAAATTTGTAAAAATGGGAAAGGGATTTAATAATTACATGTGCAAAAAGTTTTTTCATCCGGCGTCACGAGACAATTTGAAGCGAGTACGGATACGATATGTGATCTAACCTCCCTTTCTGATAATGGAATATTTTTAATTCTCTCTATTTTTAACCTTTTTAATTCACGAGAAAATTGCATGTGCTAAATGTATATGTTGTTGTACATTCCAGGTATGGATGGCGGAGCAGCAAGCGGAGGCTTACAAGAAAAAGCAGGAGGAACTGCGAGTGCAGTACGAAAAAGAACAGGATCTTCATAATAACAAGTACGTAATTTAAAAATATTCTCTAACGAGAGCAGTTTTGTTTTCCTAACGTAAAGTTTTTCTTTCAGAGCGCTGCTTAGCAAAGAGAGCAAGGATAAACTTAGTGTCAATTTTATGTATGAACCACCTCCTGGTGCAAAGAAAGAACGGGAGAAGGAAGACAACGAGCCTGAATATAAGTTTGAATGGCAGCGCAAGTATAATGCTCCAAGAGAAAGTTACTGCAAGGGAGATAGCGAAATTCGAGATCAACCCTTTGGCATACAAGTGAGGAATGTACGGTGTATCAAATGTCACAAATGGGGACACATAAATACAGGTTAAGCTCAAAGCTTTATCCAATAAGATGCAAATATAATAATGGAAGATAAATGTTAATGACAGAATATTTCATATTACAGATAAGGAGTGCCCCTTGTACAGTCAAGCAATGAGCGTCGTAATGGCAAATAATAATTCGCAGACACCATCTGCTCCAGATGCTATGACGCTAGTACAGCAGATGCGAGAAGATGGTTTGGCTCTGAAAAAGTAAGTATCTTCTTACTGTAATTATATGTTATTTTCATTTCTATAAACATGTTTACACGCGCGCGCGCGCGCGTATGTATGTATGTATGTGTGTACTTTATGTAATATTTAAATAAATTTTGTTAAATAATGTTAACTAAAAATAAACGGATTATTTGTATAGATAAACTTTAGGCTATTGACTTTTTATATCTGCATACAGATCTGCATTGGATGCACAACAACATTTACGAGTTCCAGAACACGAACATCTTATGGTATCTGAAGATGAGGAGCAGTCAGAGCTGTCGTTTCTAAAATCTCTGTCAAAGAAAGAAAAAAAAAGATTGTTACTGTAAGTTAATACAATTATATAATACTATCATGGTATAATTACATGATATTCTTCTATTATATATGACAATGGATATCTGAGAATTACGATTATAAGCAGGAAAATTTATTTTTATAATTACAGGAAATTACAGTTACTAGAGAAGAAAAATCGTAAAAAAGATAAAAGAAAATTGAAAAAGAAAAAGAGCAACAATAGAAAGTGTAGCAGTACTAGCAGTAATATTAATAGCAGCAGTAGCAGTAGTACTAGTAGTAGTAATAGTAGTAGTAGTAGTAGTAATAGTGATAGTGATAGCAATAGCGATAGTAGCAGCAGCAGCAACATTGACTCGAAAAATTTCCATTCCAAGAAGGACAGAAAGAAAAGGAAAAAAGTCCACTCGAAAGAGAAGCATATTTACAAGCATAAAAGGAAACACAAGTATAAGGAGATAAATGGCAATGCTAAACATGATAAAGATAAGGATCGTTACAATAGGAAAAGAAAAGTTAAATACGAAGATAAAGAGAGAGACAATTCCAGACACAATAAAATACAGAAAAAGCATTATTAATAAGCACTTAAACAATATTCGTAAAATGTGGATATATTTATCATTTATGAATCTAATAATAATAATAATAATAATAAACATTGTTTAAGAATGCATTTTGCAATTTAATTTTATATTGTACCTTTTCAAGACATAAAAATTATCACGGATAGATATGTATATGGAACAATGTGTATCAATGGTATGTGCATATTAATAGAATACTTGAATTACTGTAATTTATTCAATGACAATGAAATATTTCTAATAACAATTTGTAATATAAACATTAATTATATATAAGTTTTATAATAGCATGCACTTTATTACAAATCAATAAAGTTAATATATTATTGGTATTATATTATCGCGCGCGCGATATTGTATGTGTGTGTAATGCAATGTATATATATGTCTTTCGCAAAAATGATACATGGGACCATTGGCAATGTACGTATAATTTGTGTGTTTGTGTGTGTGTGTGTGTGTATATATATGTGTTACACGTACACATTATTAGATTTTTCTTACTTTTCTGTACGGCATGTATTAGATAAGTTTTCTCACTCTATTTTGTTTCTAACACGACTAGTAACAATCCGTTCTTGAATATATATTTTTATATATAATGTACGAATGTATATTGTATATGTAATACTAGCCACGTTAGATGGCTTTGAACACTTGGGCACTTTGAAATCTGTGTGATTATTCCTCTTGTAAATTGATTACACTTTCATGTGATACAATACAATACTTGGAGAAATAATTGGATTGGCAGCTATATGTACATTAATCCATTATTTGATTATATATTTTATAAACGCAACAAGATTACACACGCACGCACATATACGTTTATACTATATGTACATGTGTATATATACATACATATGCACGTATACACATATATATGTATGTAAAGTAGTTAAAAAGAGAATACATTCGTTATATGAAATATTACGCATTTTTTAAATACTAAATAGCAATTGTAATTAATTCTATCAGAAAAATGCTATTCCTTAAAATGCAACGTACAATTGCGCTAAAGAATCATTAGGACGACTTTATTCTTTTATACATGTGTATATATGGGTGTGTATCATATATATGATACACACCCATATATACACATGTATTAAATAATTAAAAATATAATATAATGGAGTAATTTCCGTTTTCCTTTCCAATTTGATAAGGGCAGATATTTTTACATATAAATGTAGTTAAATAAACTATATGTATATTCAACAGAATCTCAATTATGTCTTTAGTATTGTTAACAGAACAAGACAATAGCAAATCTACTCACTTTTATTTATACATTTAATTTCCGATGAATACTATCTTACATACAAGTGCAAATCATCGTCATACATCCAGCGTACTGGAATGTTCTTAAAAGAATCGGCGTTAAAATAGAGTGTCTCTCTTACATATTACATTTGGATATCTATTGCATGGAAAATGAAAAAGAAATTCTCCAAGAGTTTAGAAAATTATATTAATCCGTAGCATATGTTCATTTGAAATGCATAGTGTTTTTATTTGAAATAAACTAATCGCAAACTTTCAAAGCAATAGAAACAAAAAAAAAAGAAATTATTACCGGAAAAATTGTAGGAAAATATAATTTTACAGGAAAACACGATATAGAAAACAAAAGAGATTTGATTGCACAATCATTTTGAAAGGAGAAAAAGAAAAGGAAAACATTTTTTTCTCTGTAGCATTCTCTCAAAAGCATTCGTCACTTTATACGTGTGTACTGTTAGAAACAGTCTAATGCTAGTTAATTACGTTACAATCAGCGATATGATTGCGATATCTGTATTACAATTGTGATATAATCTTTAAATTTGAACTGCATTCTGCTCATAAATGTTTCATTAAGAATGTACTTGCTTTCAATTATCCGCATGTATTTACATAGCGAAAAGACATACACTATTCGCTCCCTCGTATTGCAGACAAAGTTACCCTAGGTTTGGGGCCGACTTTTGAAATCGCCAGAGGTCTAAGAAAAGTTGCATACAGGCGCAGGCAATATCTCGATATCAAGGAGGCCGACCAAACTCGCTGTGTGCTTACTTTTTGTTATATATATGTATATATATATATATATATATATACATATAATATTGAATTTGCTAAATATAACTGTGTTTGTCGCCGCACACGAATGTTGCGAAAAGAAACGAAAAAGCGGCGAACAAACAGCTGTTTATGGGCTATGTTCCTTTCGTTCCCTAGTTTGCATTAAAAAGCTAATAGTTTGCACGCAGTGGGTCGTGGCACTATAAACGGTTTGGTAATTGGCCAAGATCGACCATTTCGGTGTCCTCTACGCTGTTGGGTCCCATCATATGTTGCCTGTGTTGTTGTTGGAGATCTAACGACGGACGCAAATGAACATCCATCGTTCTGGGCGAAGAGAAACCGTGTAGACCCCCCGCCGCCGCCGCCGCCGCCGCGCCAAAACCCGTGTTGTTCAACAGTCCCCTACGCGGGCTTCTAGCATTGACAACTCTTGGCTGCGCGTACATCTCCTCCAGGACGCTCGGCGCCACGTATGTAAAACCCTGAAATATCATGTTCGCAGATTCACTGAGGGTACTCTCGACCGGTGAATCGACCGGCACGGTCGCCGTGAACTGCTCGTCGAATTGCGACGTATCGTCGGCACTCTTCAGGGATGGCTTGAACGGTGGATCCAACTTCCGAGCGATTACGTCCTGCCAATTTATGTGCTTGAAGAAATTGTGGTTTTTAATTTGCTCGGCGTCCTCTGGACCGGAGCCCAATCTCTGAACAACCTGCCTCTTTAAGAGTTTTCGAATTAGATCCCGGGCATCCGGCGTTAGATACTGTGGAAGACTGAGCTTTCCGCGTAAGATCTTTTCGATCGTTTTTTTTCTGTCGTCACCGGTGAACGGCGGCATTCCTGTAAGCATATCGAACATCAAAGCGCCTAAACTCCACCAATCTACAGCTTTACCGTGACCGCTCCTAGTTAGAATCTCCGGAGCCATGTATTCTATCGTACCACAGAACGTATGCGTCACTGTACCCTCTTGTATGTGCTCTTTGCAAAGGCCGAAATCGGTTAACTTGACATGACCCTCGGCATCCAACAAGATATTCTCCGGCTTCAAGTCTCTATATATAATTCCCTGATTGTGAAGATGCTGCAGCGCCAGTATAATTTCCGACAGATAAAAGCAAGCTGTGTCCTCTAAGAAGATACCTTCTCGATCGAGATACGTGAAAAGCTCTCCGCCGCACAGATATTCCAAGATCAGATATAATTTACCACCAGTTTGGAACGCATACATGAGATTTACGATAAATGGATGTTTTACAGCCTCCAGAATGTTCCTCTCGGCCTTGGTATGCGCGGTATCTTTCTGATTTCGTATAATGGACGCTTTGCGTAGTACTTTCATAGCAAAAATGCTACCTTTATCCTTCCCAGTGACTTTTCTAACTTGGAAGACCTTTCCGTAGCCACCCTCTCCTAAAATCTTGCACAATTCGAAATCTTGCGGGCCAGCCTTCTCTTGACCAGGATTCACATTTTGCTCAGATAACTGAACCCTCTCCAAGTTCTCGGATCTAAAAGGATATTTTTTAACGATCAACAGCAGAAAGAGGAAATTACTCTAGAAGGGCTTATTCAAGGGCAACCAAAATGCTTACTCTAATATAGCGCTTACAGTTGCAGCGTGATTGTATTCCTCCTAAAAAACGAAGAGACCAAATTAAAAAAAATGTTACTCTGCCACAAGCTCATATCTTATCACAGATCAGCAATCTCGACTCGCTACTTCTCTAGTCTCGATCACGTCGTCATCCGACTCGTCCTGATTCGCGGCATCCCCGTCGTGCAGCTCAATGTCGAATACTCCCGCCATCCTAGGTAGGTCAAATTCACATCGGAAGATTCCAAATGAATTAAGGAGGACACGCGTTCGCAGTCTGTCAACTGCTGTGTTTGTCACTCCGAAGGCGAAGCTGGACGAAAATTCGAGTGTGACATAAGCGCTCTCGCGCGGGGTACACATTGGGGGCACGTAGAAAATCGTGAGAATCGCAAAGCGCGTTTCGAGAAAGCTTACCTCCAACCAACTGATAATCTGATCTCCGATAAATCTCGAGTGTTTACTTAACTTTTTAAAATTATTTAAAACGCGCAAAGCTGATGAAAGCTCGCCGCCAGATTGTAATACGATATACGAGTCACTACACGCTACATATGTAATCGCAAATACACGCAGCAGAGACAGAGTGACGACTTGTATTACCTATATAATATACGAGAGTGACGAGACGAGACGAGACGAGAATCGAGATATCTCGAGGTTCGAGGTTTCGCGAGTCGAGTCGAGTCCCCGTCCGCGTCCCCATGTTCGCGACGAAATGTTTTGGCTCACACTCGCAAGAATGCGATTCACCACACACACACCACCACTTGCACCCGCAATATCCGCCAATCACAGTCAACTCGGAAACTACAAATCGAATTGATCACTCGACCAATGAAATCGATTACGAAGCCTGTCCAATTTGATAAAATTCCAAGTGTTGTTCAGCATTCTTCAGTTGGTAATCCTCAATCTCCTGCTGCAATCTCCGCGTAGTTTGATATACGGACTTTAACCTTTACTTGACGCAGGCATTTGAATGACGTGATCGGTGCGTGTAGTGTAATACAATGTCAACCGATATTTAAAACCAATCGATTTTAAGTTCAAGACTCGAGGAGGGATGTTAGTAGACCCCCTGTGGAACCACGTGGGTGCGTTCAGGTGCGTTCTATCTGCCACTTGAAAAGATCGAATTACATAAAGTGAGGTTAGTGTTTCGTTTTATTTACGTTGTGTATATACGCATTAAATTTCGTCTAAATTTAATCGCATTCAGCTAGGATTATGCGTATATGTAGAGGCATTTTATTGAAATTTCGTATAAAATATTTGTGATAATTGTAATTTCTGACAATTGCATTTGTTTGACAATAATTATATATAGCTAGCGATAATTGTAGCTAGAGATTAATTGCAGGATTGTCGATCGAGACGATCAATGTCTAATGAACGCAACATAAAATTTCGTATCGTATCAAAATTATACAGAAAATTGGTAAACGTTTCGATTTGATCATCGAGTTATTATATACATAACGTTAATTGTTGCCCGCGAAAATCTTGTGCGAATTTCGCGCGACCGTGACGAAATGTGCGCGTGCTCGCGCATAGTTTCGTCCAGTTTCGTCGCATGCGTGCACGAGAGGCACGAGGTTAAAGAGTAATTCTCAAAGCAAAAGTTACCTGTACCGCGGTCTCCGCGGCAACCGCGATTTATCGATTTGCCTAGGCTAGGCGTCGCGGGCCTAGGACTCTCCCAGTAACCAGTTGTACGGTCTGCAGGCAGCGTTGTGCTCGCGAGTCATGGCCAGTCGTGAACGTGTTGGAGTATTTGTCCCAAGTTTCGCTTCGCCGCGGCTAGTTCCTTGCGATTCGTAAGATGAGCATAATGAGGAACGATCCGTTCGAGACAGTTCGAGATCGTCCGCCACCGAGGTCACGTCGCGCGATATGGAACGCGAGAACTGCGAGAAAAGGAAAAACTTGGATGTGGTCACATCGTTAGATGAACAAGTACATTGTGGAACGCGCGGAAATCTATAGCACCGTTCATGGTATTAATTTTCTAAAGCGAAAAGACTTGAAAAAACTTTACATGTGTTAAAAATGATTGAGGATTATTGTTATTTTGTCAAGGTCGCGAGCGCGGTGAAAGAATAAACTGGGAATTTGTACAAAATACAGAAGGAAGAGAGTGAACTGTCACTTTTCACGTCAAGAAGAATCGGTGAGTGAAGAGGTGGTGATGAAAGACTATTATATTTTTAATATGTTTTTACAAAGTAAAGAAATGAAGCAAAAGGAGGAAAGAGAGAGAGAGAGAGAGAGAGAGAGAGAGAGAGAGAAAGGAAAAGCGGAACAAGAGTCAACATATTAGAAGAATCGACTCAAATTACCGTTTTTAATGAAGGAACATATGACAGTGGATAGGAAGAACTATTTATTCTATACACTAAATTTATAATACTAAATAAGATTTTGGCATATTAATCTTAATTTTTAACGAGTTTTGACTAAAATGATAATCTTTCTTCAAATATATTCGCTGTTAATGAAATAATATTTAATAGGAAAAATTATAATACGCTGAATAATGAATATTGAAAAGAAAAACATAATACCAAGTTATAAAATGGGAGGAGAAGAAGGGAAGACGCGCGGGAGAAAACGGGAGGACGAGCAGCTATATATGACATTAAATATTGAGAAATAATATATAAACATATATTCGAAAAAAAAAGACAGCAATAAAAAGCAAGAGCGAGATCGGGAATGCTAAACGGAAAGCGTGCGACGATCGTCGTCCGATGGTGCTCTTCGCGGGACACGCAGCACGTGCCACTGGAGCACAGAAGATTCCGGCGCGTTCATGGCCTGCAGCTGCCGCTGCATCCTCAGCAGATTGTCGGTTGGGTGCTGTTAATCGTCGTGTTCGTCGGTACTTTCATCGTGTTGCTGACGACGCCGCTGTTATTACCCGATCTACGCTTCATCCTCTCGCTACTGTTCGCCGCCTTGTTCCTGCTGCACGTTTTGACCCATTTGACGGTGTTGCTGCTGGACCCGGCCGATCCGGAGGTCCGCGCTCGACCAGCTCGCGCGGTCGTACCGGAGTTCGACCGAGCAAAGCATCGACACGTCATCGAGAATGGCCGATGCCACCTTTGTAATATAACGACGCGTGAACGACGCACCAAACATTGCTCCATTTGCAACAAGTGCGTGCCGCGTTTCGACCACCACTGCAAGTGGTTGAACAATTGCATCGGTGGCCGTAATTATCCGGCGTTTCTGGTGTGCCTGACGTCGACGCTCGTCGTCGCACTCGCGGTCACCGCGCTCGCCCTGGGCGAGCTGGTGCTCGTTAACGCACCCTTGCTCGTCAACCGCGACGAACCGTGGAACAATGCCAACGACACGAGCATGAGCAACGCCACGGCGACGCCGCCGCCGTTGTTGCCGGTGCCCGGCACCGGCTCGCTCGTCCTCGTCACCGTCATCGGCGTCCTCTCGGCCATTGCCGCGGTGCTGCTTATACATCTCTGCTTCTTTCACGGCTACATCGCCTGCCTTGGTCTCACCACGTACGAATACGTGCGCAATAAACGAGAGAGAAACATCGGGGGTGCTGCTACCAACTCTAGAACGACATCTACCGCTGGCCATCTGTGTGGCATGCCTTATTGTGCCGCTGCAGCTGATGGGGAGGACATCGATCCGAGGATGGTGCGACCTGGTGCGCGAGGCGATTGCCTCTATTCTCGCTTCTGCGAGAACGGTCCTTTACTTAAAAATAATACCAAGACAACGAGAATGACGATGGCAACAACGGACGTGTACGTTTGTTCGATGCACGAGGAAACGCGGTCGCCCGACGTCGCTCGCGATGAGGCAACAGCGATTAATGGAAATGCCTGCTCCAAGACGTTGCCCTCGATGAAAAATAGTCGGAATTTTCGTCTTTGTTTCTCGTACGATTCGCGCACCACCGAAACCTCCATTCAAGTCTCCTCCTCGCAAACGACAGACGCGATGGAATTGAGAAACCTGCACGGTGAATCACCGGATGCCAAATCGTCCTCCACGCCTTCGCCGGTGTCTTGTTGTTTCTCCATCATGAACCATCCCGACCATGGCAGTAGGCACGACGGAAACGGGCGAAAGCGTCGCGTCGGCGAGCATCGCGCCGAACCCACGAAACGCTCCTGCGGAACGATGAGAAGAATACAGACTTTTCTGCAGACTCGCCTCAGGAAAGGTTCGAGACAACGGTTGACAACCTCGTCGTCGTCGGCGATCGCTCGTCATTACGGCAACAAGATAATCCCGCAGGCAGGCAGTCCTCCGGACATTGCACTTGCCTTAACCGAGGATCAGGATCGGACTGTCGAAGCAGTGACTGGAGAGCTGACAACGCCACCGGATTGTCCACGTCCGCCAGCGAGGCTACCCGCCCTAGATTTTTCGCGCACTATTCGCAAAATTAGAAAAGTATCCTCGAATACCGCTGACATTTCCGTCCTAGGACAGATGCCGCCCTCCGTGATACCTAAACGAAGTCAAGCTCATCTTCGCGCACGGCGAAGCGCGAGTTTCTCTAAGAAGAGGCCGCGCTTCAAGGTCGGCTCGCACGTCGTAACGCAGACCGCTCAACTGTCGCCCATACCGGAGTCGGAGTTTTCGAAACCGGCTACACCGAGATCGCCGTCGCGACCGGGCTCTATCTTTGCCTTCCCACCATTACACGAGTAACGTTATCAGCATTGCTGCACTGACAATGTTACTTTTTAGGAATATAAAGCCCAAAATCGAAGATTGGGAAGAGTCCTCTCGGATACAATCTCGATATTTAAATAATGTTTAACACTTTACTTTTACCGATGAAACTTGTAACTATGTACAATATTTTAATTTCAAACAAACTTTGACACAACACAATATATGTGTTTGAAATAAAATTAGATTTCTCCTTGTCAACAGACCGATATATACGATATATATATCGTTTGAATAAAACAAATTTTTTTTAAGTTGGATATGAACACATCGATCCAAAATTTGCTCAAGCTTTTTCTAATTTTATATGATGAAGGCATCCGAGAGGACATTTTGTAATTGACAATGTGTACCAATTATATTGACACAAATGTGCTTATCTTGCACTAACAAGAAATAGATTGCTTGCAAAAAATATCGACTAGTACAGTTAGCGTAAAGATAAAAGTTTAACTTTTATGGAAATTGACCACTTTAATGATCGGGCAACGAGCATGCTACCAAGTTGTACGATATAGTAATGGTTCCAAGTTATACGACACCAGTTTGTACATACATATGGCTGAAAATGACATTATTGCAATTTCTTGGCAGATTTCTTTATATTCTGAGGACAAAAAAAACTAAATATTTAACTTAGCTTAACGAGCATAGTCGCAAATTGTAGCATCGCTCATACGGTCTTCATACGTACAGATAATGTCCGAGACGGAGTCACCTGACAAAGAGGATGCCACCTCGACGAAGAGGACTAATCTTTGGGAAGATTTGGGTTCACCGCGTTACATAGTCGCACCGATGGTGGACGCGAGCGAATTGGCATGGAGATTGCTCAGCAGGCGCCACGGCGCTCAACTTTGTTACACGCCAATGTTGCACTCCTCCGTGTTCTGTCGGGATCCCAAATACAGGCGAGAGGCTCTCGCTAGTACCAGCGAAGATCGTCCACTGATTGTACAGGTCTGCTTACCACAATCATCGGACACACAATGTTATAGATTAGTTGTTAAGATTAGTCCTCAACATACAGAGTTTTCCGGGACTATAAAGGAACATTTGACAAACGAATAAAATTTTTTATAAATGTAAAGAATATATTTAATTTAGAGATCGTCAAAATCTCAAGCATATTATTCTGCACTTTATTTTATTCTGCATTTGAAATACTTTACTTTTGAAAAAATTGAAAGATTATTTAAAATATCTATTAAATCTTCGCAAATTGAACACATTGAAATTCAATCTCATACCGTCGTTTCAACGATATTTTAAATAATCTTTCATTTTTGTAGAATAAAACGAAAGAGAAAAGAACACCTAACATTAACTTTTGTATAATAGTAATTTGTAACTTCCAGTTTTGTGGCAATGATCCGGATATATTATTGGAAGCTGCACGTTGGGCTGAACCATACTGCGATGCAGTCGACATCAATATCGGTTGTCCTCAGGCAATTGCAAAGCGAGGACATTACGGAGCTTTTTTGCAAGATGACTGGAATTTGTTAAAGAAAATTGGTATGTATGCATCTTATTTATATTTGAAAAGCTTTAAACTTTAATGACAATATAATGTAATAAATCTCTCTTGTATATATGTACAGTGTCGACATTAAAGAATGGATTACGCATACCTATCACTTGTAAATTACGGGTATTCTCAGAAATCAGTCGTACCGTAGAATATGCTTGTATGCTAGAGGATGCAGGTGCTAGCTTACTCACTGTCCACGGACGTACGAGAGAGCAAAAAGGTCCATTGACTGGATTAGCATCTTGGAAGCACATTAAAGCCGTAAGGTGATTATTTGTATCTGTTTTACACTTCACTTTCATTCATTCGTTATACAAATTCATTATAAATCGGAGATTACAGTTAAACTCTGTATTTTGCGCCTCTTCTTTTTATATATAAATTGATTGAACCGTTTAAATCAGGGATGCCGTGAACATTCCTGTAATCGCAAATGGCAACATACAATGTATGCAAGATTTACAGCGGTGCCTAGAGGAAATTCAAGTGCAGGGTGTGATGTCAGCAGAAGGGAATCTTTATAATCCATATATATTTGAATCGTATTATCCTGCTTGTTGGGAACCTGCTCTGGAGTATCTGGAACTTGTAGAGCAATATCCAGTACCAGCTTCGTATATCCGCGGTCACTTGTTTAAACTCTTCCATCACGTGTATGTATTGATTTTTCGATTATGTCGAATTATAAATAGCAAAGCATAAACGTTCCCAAACGTACGGCATGCTTTTAAATAGAGAGTAGACTTTGTTTAGCAGAAAATCAAAAAGAAAGAGAAAGCCTGGCAACCAACTCTACTATGGAAGCCTTCAAAAGTGTCACGAATGCCTTGCGGGATCGTTATCTACCGTATCATGAAGGACGTTTGAGATGGCAGACGGAAAAGACGGGTAATAATTTGATGAATATGATTTGCATTCGTTACGTCCACATTAAATATATCTTTGGATATTTTTAGATTATAATTTAGAGTTACCACCGTGGTTGTGTCAACCTTACGTACGAGAGCCACCGCAAGAGTATACACAAAAATTACAGGTCAGATATGATTAATTGCGTATATACTGGTTTTTTCCCCCTTATGTTACGATTGAAGAAGAAATGCTCTTTGAAAATAACGATAAAAATTCTCAGGAAAGTGCACCTCGGAAACATAAATACAGAGATGAGGAAGGAAACGAAATATCGCGAAAACGTTCAAAAAAGCTTAAGCGGATAGCGCGTAGACCGAACAGAGCAAATTCTATTCCTAAAAGAAGTTCAGATCGATGTCATACTTGTCCGAATCCTCTGGTTAGTTGAAATACTTTCAAAATATTAAGTATTTTTCTTATCATCTTGCTCTTTATAAATCTTTTTAAGGCAATGCTAGAATCGTCTGTTTTAAGATTATTGCGTTTTCGTTTTTGGGAATAGAGACGATTCCTGCAGACGACTCTTTTCCAAAAGGAATTTCCAAAAATAACAATGTATTTATAGATGCGCGCGCGCAAAATACTTAACTAATGAAATACTTTGGAGAGATATCTAATAAGTTATTTTAAATTGTAGGGTTTTAAATGTGAATATAAATTATGTCGACAATGCTGTAGGAACAAGTGTTACATAGAAAATTTAGACTGTGCTGGTCACAGAAATCTAACTAAAACTAGAAGACAGATGGCGATAGAATTCGAGGCAAAGCGTAAGGAAGTTGAAAATATGAATCGTGACACTGTGTATTAAGATATTTTAAATAAAACTAGATATATAAATGTATATATTTTAACATTTTGTTTCTGGTCTCTGGAATTTTATTACCTACTTCTGTGAAAATATTTAAACTAACATTATTTTCGTTTATTTATTAAATTAAATAATGCCAGACAATACAAGAGTCTAGTATTGATTACATCTACAGTTTACACAATATCGTAATTTGAACTTGTTAATAAAGTAATGAAAAATTTCTAAGACTTGAAATTTATATAACGATATTGTATTAATTTGTACTATTACCGACATGTTCAACGGAATAAAACCACCTCTACACAGAAGAAGTTGCTGCAGTGATGGGTCCTGTGGTGAAAATAGTCAGTAAACCATTCTTCTTTGTTGATTCATTATGAGGAGATTCGACTTTATCTTCCTGTTTGTCCGTGTTAGTCCAATACTTTTTACTTGAGAATATCAGCATCATCAATAGAGGTAGATGAAGTAACGAAAATCGAAATAATTTCCTAGAATTAGCACTATCCGAGTGCTTATTAAATTTCCATGCTAAAATTGGAAATATATATATATATATATATATAGTCAATATACAAAAAGTCTCGAGCGTAGATACATAATGCAGAATATCTCCAAAGAGATTGAGAGGTCAAATTTATATATATATATATAACATGTATATTTTTTACCTAGATATAAGAAAGATGCATTGAGCGGCGTCGAAGCCAGTGCAAACCACCAATGAGTAACATTCAATACAGGAGCTAAATAACACAGAGCCATTAAAACTGCTGTGTATCTGATTGTTGTTTTACGACATAAATCTGGATTTGTCACAGCCATCATTCGATAACCAGCTCGTGAATAGTCCGGTCTTAAGTTCCACGAAAGAGCATTAAAGTGCGGAAATTGCCACGCATATAAAATACCAGGCAAGATCCAAGCACCTGGCGTCAGTATAGTGCCAGAGCAACCTGCCCAGCCCATAAGAGGAGGGATAGCTCCTACTGCAAAAGGAAATAATAAGTTATGATACACATAATGTTATGATAAACATAAAAAAATATATACCACTCACCAATAGAGCCAATCCACGTGTTGGCAATACTAATGCGTTTCATGGGAGTATATATGAGCGTGTATAAAACAAGATTGCTAGTACCTAGCACTGCCGTGATACCATTTACTTCATGGTAGAGTATGGATAATCCAATAATACCAGATACTGCTGCAAATGCTATTGCATGTACAGGCCTGATGATACATATGTATACGTTCAATTGTCATACTTAATATCGAAATAAAAAGGTTTAAAAAAAACTTACGTCAAATGACCACGCACTAATACTCGATTTTTTGTTCGCGACATCTGTGAATCGAAAGGAACTTCAAAAAATTGATTAATTGTATTTGCAGTGGCAGAGACTAAGCCTGTGCCTAAAGAACACATTGTAAATGTATAAAAGTCAAATGGTGCAGGAGCTAATGCATATCCAGCCATAGTTGTCGCTACAACGAGAGCTATAATGAAAAGAATTACAATTCGATTATATAATAAATTAAATATTCAAATTACTTGTGAGTCAATTTGCAATGTATCAAATGTCATAATTAAAAAATCTTTTCTCTAATATAATCAACTAACGCTTTTTTTAAATCAATGCAAGTCTAACATATGTATATAAGATTGATATGGACTGATAGATACATACATGTCAATTTAATCTTTGATAATTTGAGATAATGCTTGTGAAGCTTGGTATAATCGACTATTATAGGTGTCCATTCTGACTTCTCTTTTTTACATGGATCTTTTTCTATTTTACACACCACACTTTTCTCAACAGGAAAGGAAGCTATTAAAGTAGTCGCACCAACTCTTTTTTGTTTGTCATCATCTTTCACAGTTTGTGCTGGTTGTACGATGCTCCCTGCAATCTTCGTTGACTTTTGCCTTGGGAAGCCAGAACACTAGAATTAAAATTTATTTTCTTTTTCTCCTTGAGAAAATACAGAATATGACAAATTTTCTGGATACTACAAACCATGATGACAGAAAATTTTGGTATAAAATTGCATGACATATGCCGACAGCTTCTTAATGGATGAATAATAAATAACATGATTAACTTTAATCTTAATTTTAATCAACTGCTTATTTCCACCGACCTAACCTAAAATAAAGTATATACATAAGTGCAGGAAAATATCCTAACCTAGACATAATTAGTTAGTCATAACCTACAAATATCAGCGGGAAGCCGGGAAAACGGGTTTGTTTTCCCAGATTTTCAGGTAACAATTTTGTACTTACATTTCTATGTGCTAACATGATTGCTGTACTCACATGTTTATTATTATGTAATCGTAACTCGAAATAATCGAGTATTTAATATTACCGAAGAGAAGCGTGAGAACGGCCACGCCGACCTTTTGCGTGGGACCGGCGATCTCCCCCGTACACGAGCGCTCCGCGTCCACGTTTTCAAAAAAGGAACTATGCACCACGTCTATCCAAGTGCCGACAGGAGAGAATAGGCGCAATGTGATCTGATAGGGGCTCGACGAAGCTCCGAAAAGCAACACGCTGGATTATTACCAATATATTTGCAATCCTTGTATTCTTTAATGCTAGTCTCATACTACCTTGAAAAGAATTAAACGATAAAATTATAATTTAAAATATTGTTGCATGGATGATAACGAAAAGGAGGAACATCCAAATCCTCCGCCGACGGGAGACAGTCGCCGACGGGAGAGGCGTACGTGATTTCTCGAAAAATGCGTTTATATACGGTAGCAATTTCACGTGTCCTTTAATGCGAAGCATATATGCTTTCTCGAGAAGACCTTATATTAATAAAACATTCTAGAACATTATTGTTACATAATAATTAACAAACGATTTTCAGTGTTTATTATGTTTTATCGTAAGAAATAAGTTGCCGCGCCTTATACGTAAATTACTTATTTGTTATAATAAATTTGGAGTAATTTTAATGTTACATTATTATAATTAAATAATAGTTTAAATTTAATTATACGCATCTGTGGAGATGCACAAAGGATCATAAATATTGTTAAAAGTACATATAGAGATGAGGAGTTAACCGGCAAAAGCCGGTTTTCGCAGCGTCAGAAACTTCGTTTAAATTGAATAAAGTATCAGGAGCGCACATTAACAAGTAGGTGGCAGAGATATTCGGGGCGGAGACCGCCAGCGCGCCATGGAGGGGGACCCTACTACCCCCACCCACGTATATATGCTGCTTTTGCGCCAAGAGGCGGGGCCTACGCGTCGTATAAAAGTGGAGGATTCCGTGCCACCTCTTTGCTCAACATGTTTTTCGCGTATCGGCGAAAGTTTTTCAGTCTTTATATCGAGGCGCGCTGGCTAGGATTAGTAGGATTCCGTGTCACCTCTTCGCTCAACGTGTTCTCCGCGTATCGGCGGGAGTTTTCGAGCTTCTGACGAGGCCCGCTGTCCAGGATTCCGTGCCTTTTCGCTCAGCAGTTTTTTACCTTACCAACAAGTCTCTGTCGATACGCGCGCTGGTTAGGATTCCGTGCCACCTCTTTACTCAACATGTTTTTCGCGTATCGGCGGGAGTTTTCGAGCCTCTGACAAGGCGCGCTGGCTAGGCACATGGACGTGGTTCGTGTCCGTGCTAATCGTGCATTATATATATGCCACATTCTTCATCTACAATTTATGGATGTAGTACAGACATGAATTGGAATGTCATTTCATCAGTAACATCGCAAAATAAACGTGATCTATTTATTCACAATTTGTGCACGTAGCACAATTATTATAGTACGGATCACGTTCTCGTGCTATGATTTGGTCGACAATGTTATAAGATAGACGTGATACGTAGTTTCTTTTTTGAAAACGTGGACGTGGGGCGCTAGTGTCCGGGGGAGATCGCCGGTCCCATCCAAAAAGCCGGCGTGGCCGCTCTCACGCTTCTCTCTGATATTACTGAAGAGAAACAAACAACACACGTAATCTAATCATCTACAACTTTGATCTTGGGGTGCGTTCGGATTTCCACTCAAGTATCATCCAGGTATCATTTTATCCTTGTTTAACATTCGGTGTGATAAAGAGAAAATGATATTTGAGGAGCACTCGCGGATGGAAATCCGAACGCACTCTTTGTACATACATACATATGTGAATTGTGAATCATGTCACAGTTAAATTCGTAGCAATTTCCACCACATTGATACTTTATACACTCTCAAGATTACTACATACGAAAAATAGATACATACCGCTTTCGATTTTCGATAAATAACTAATTGTTAATTAAAATTTTACGCAAACTGAATAATTCTAGTATAATTATATATAATTGTAAATATTTATATGAAATTACGACGCTATTTTTAATTATATGTATATAACGCGAATCACATAATAATTAAGTATAAATTTCATTTTGTAAAACATTCTACTAATTGTAAGGTACTATAATATATATATATATAATAATCGAATCATCATTTTTGTTCTATCGCGAGAGAACGAGACATATAATAATGATATAATTAAGATATATCGATCTTTGACTGGAGAATTAAATTCGATTAAATTACAGTAGTGCTGATAAACTGCTAATTCTTATCTATTATAATAGAATTTTCTCTTTACATTATGCATAGCTAGGACACTGTAGAACTAATCAAACTTTACGAAATGATTAGATGTTGGAATTAGAAGATCTAATCTCTTGCATGGGTACTGTTCCTGGTTCCGATGTGGAAATGGAAGTGACATTCGAGGCTGTGCTATCATTGTTCATTGGAATTTTACAAAATGGGCCGCAATTCTGCCCGCCGAATCGTTTTAACAGCAGTTGTTTGATCTTTTTTCTACACACAAATATGATGAAAATAATGAGACCTTGCAAGGCATTTATTATGTTGGCAGGATACCAGACGATCGCTGGCACGAGATCTATATCGATCCACCACGCTATTAGTTCCAAAACCCAACTTATTCCCATCACTATGAACAGTTTCAGGTACATATTCAACCTGTGAGTAAAATATATTTTTGTATTATTTGTAATTACAATCATTACAAGATCGTTACTCTAGAAGATATATTAAATCAATTATATTATATGTATATTATATAAATTATTATATCAAATATATAATTGGATATAGAAACATTACTGTCATGTGTATACATATATACTTATACATATATGACAATTAATTATATATTATCCTAATAATAAATATTTCTGAAATAATTACTTAATATTTTTGTCTAAGAATGGAATATATATCGGTAAACTATACATATTTTGCAGTTTTCTGTGAATGCAACTTCACTGAATTATATTAATTATTTTTTTGTACAGACCTCTGCTTATTTTCATCGTGGCGTTTGCTCTCCGAGTCTCTCAACTGCTGAGCTGTATGTATATTCTGATATAAAATCGTTAATGTTGTGGCGATGAAGAAACAAATGTTACTGATAATAGTAGCAGTCATAGGTATGTAAAAATATATCGTTTTTGCTTTATCCTCTGAAATGGAAAACGAATTCTTTGCACGAATTCTAACACACTAATACATGTGCAGTAGATAATGTTTTTAATTTAAAATTAATTATTTTAATTGAAAAAAGTTGAAATTGAAATTCAATCAAGACTTTAATAAATATCGCCGTTAGTATTATATAATAGAGATTCTATTGTCAATGTCACTTACCACCGAACCAAAATTTTTTCTTGCACATTTCCGGTCGAATCCAGTCTGTTGGTATTGCGTTATCATCAACAGCATCGATGACGGCACAGATAATGTTGAGAATTAAAGTGACTCCCCACGCATAGATCGAATACATTATAAATTTCTTTTTCTCTTGCTTTACATTTGTTCGACACGATCGGAGTCCTCTGTGAAATACGATTTCAATATTAAATTACTCATCAATATGTATTATATTGAAAGCAAAAAATACCTTATTTTTGTAATTAATCGTGCTTTATTTATATAAAATAATAATCATAAAAACTTATGTGTGTGTATGTGCGCGCGTGCACGCGCGCGCGCGCGCGCGCACACACACACACACACACACACATCAAATACAAATTTTAGATAATGGATGTGCAATGGTTCTTTATACGTGTTATTTCTACTAAAATTCTATTTCAAGAAAACAAGAGAAGAGTTTCTTTTTATAAAAAATTTTCTATCTGACCAATTTTACTATTTGATGAATATTTTGTTCCAAGCCATTTAAGAAAGGTGAATAAAGTCATTTCAAATGCGAAAATCATCTTTTGCACTTTAGTGGAAATGAATACTGTGGTTTTTGCATATAACATAATGTGAAATATGTCGCTTACCTGAATGTCCACCAAATATCGAAACATGTTATATTTAGCCAAAAGAAACTCGACAAAAAGAAGAAGTTGAAAATATATGCTGAAAAGATCAAATATAGATAACACGTTAATCGTCAAGACATATTAGAATATCAATTAAGTTTATAGCTATTGCTATAACTGTCCGTGAGATTTTCTTAATATTTCTATATATAAATTTACAATAAAAAAAATATTGAAATAAAAAATTTTGAAACTATAAAATTATTACATTTATAGAAATGTGAGATAACTCACTTATATACAGAATAATTTATATACTTTTTATTTATATATGTATATGCGAGGGGGTAATCATTCAGAAACTAGATGTATCCTAATCGGACTTCATAATAGAGACCCCCCCTCCCTCCTCTTGTATAAGTACACAATTCAAGATTTTATCTATAAAACTTAAAATATTATCTCTATTTTATTTTGTTTTATTGTTTGCTATACCCAGTGGAATGCAATATGCCGTTGTAGCTAATTCAGAAATTTGTTGGCCGCAATACATAATCGCGTATGTGATGAATAATGAGCCGACGTGTGCACGCAATGTATAACCATGCATGTTTTGCAGTTCTGGCAATATGGAATATACCACGAACGTCAGCAGCAAGAACGGCAAAGACACTAGGAGACACGCAGATATATATACTGGAAGTTTAGTCTGATTAGTGCAAACGATCACATCATAAATGTTCCGCCTCAAGATGGCAAGGCAATAGGACGTCGGTGAAATAAATCTGCCAGGACCTTGGTACAAGGAGCCATTGATGAGAAACAAGTATCCGTCGGCATTAAGCAAACGGCGGCCAAATCCTTGTTGAACGCATGGATCGCGGATGGTCAGATATGTTAGTTGGTTTTCATCCTCGGAATCGTTTCCATATTTGTACATGTCTGGAAAAGAATAATTACCCTGTCCAGTGACGCACTTGCCCTGTATCGTCAAGTTATTACCGAAAGGACAACAGAGCTGAAGGCAGGTAACATTGCCACACACTTTATATGGAACAATGATAGCCGTACTATTATTATAGTCATCTGTATTGGAATTGCTCTCGTCTTCGGTCTCAGTGAAATTCTCATTAATTCTTTGTAACGTGGAATCATTGTTTTTTGTAAAGTTCATGTAGGACTCCATAGACATCTGATTATTCTCTTTGTGATTTTTTATAATACGTCCGCGAGACTTGTCCCGCTGTACCGAATCGTCATTCTTGCGATCGTTGTTTGTAAAATTAATGCAGGACTCATATTGCATTTCGTCGTCATTTTGGATAGATTTTTCACGTGAATTGCACCGTATTGATTCCATCTCGCCATTTCGATTTTTCGTAGAACTTAAGAAAAGATCATTATACTGTATCGTAGAGTTGTCGCCTTGCCCATCGTCATTCGTAGAATTTCTCTGACACTCCGAGAACGAAGCAATGAGCAGAAGCACGAAACACCAAAGTGCGATATTTGATGGACACATCGTTAAACTATTGAACGTCGAATTCACAAAACCAATTTATAGCTTTTCTTTATGCCTTGTAATCAAATGTCTAGTGTGTATGTTTGTATTTTTTAGAATGATATTTTAAATTTATTCTGCATGTAAACCATTGGGATAAAATGAAGACGAGATAGATGACAAGTGCTAAGAACAATAAGTTTTTTTGATTCTGATGCGTGAGAATAATACGTGACAACTCTGCAGTTTGAAATGCTCTTTGTTTTCGAGATAATGACATTCGTTAATATAAACAGGTCCATTTCGTAGATCATGGACAACTGCATTGCCTGTGCTATATCTTTCACGCTGCAGTTTCTGGTAAAGACAATGTCAAATGTAAATAACATGTAGTCTTCCGGAATTTTTATTATCGAAATCGATCGTGTAACTATATAGAGAGGTATAGAGTTTGATATAACATAAGCAGTTGATATTAGGCCACAATTACGTAGAAAATTTACAAGTGAGTTGATGATTGATTAAAAATAGATAAAATAGAATTAAAAATAATTGAATTGTTATTTGTTAATCTTACTTCTTTCACGTTTTATGTAACGTTATGTAATGTAACGTTATGTAATGTCACGAATATGATCATTATAATTAATGTATAATCTATATTAAACTCAGTTCCGGGACGGATATTTTCTTGAAAAACCTTAGCTAATCGTCTCTGATGTCATTTTAGATTTATGACTATTACTCCAGGATTTTATTATCAGTATAATAAGAGTTACTGTACAGTACAGTAATTGCAGTATATAATTACTTGATTATCCGGTTTTAATCTCAACCGTAGTCAGTAGTGAATAAGCAAATTTATAAGAAAAACATTCTTTTATTTAAATTAGTGTTGTATTTATTTATATATATATTTATATGTATATTTAAACAAAGTCGTAGTTACGTAGTTATAATAGTACAAAAAAAGACAATTGTTCTAACAGATAAAAGCAAAATAATTAAACAATTTAAATGATACGTCTACGCGCTACTTGATGAGAAAAATAAATATTATATTAAATTACACGTGTATGAATATATGATAAATAATCCCGGACTAGTGAATGAACTTTTTATTTAAGGCGATGCTGGAATTTAAGGTCGGAATTACCGATATTACAGATATTCATATAAATATCGGAGATGTTCATATAAATTCATGTAAATTCGGTAATTCCGACCTTTCAGCATCGCCTTAATAAAAAAATTTTGGCATTAGTATCACCAACTTAGTAATGCAATAATTGATAATTGTGAATTTATAGGGGACATAAGCGAGAAAACATTTATATTTACCATACACTTTTTTCGATAAATTGTTAAAATCAGAATCACATATAACATTGTTTGTAACGATTATGATTGATTTTAAGCTAAAATGATAAATAGGATAATATAATGGTAGAGGTATATATAAATATACTATATTCAATTTCACTTTCGCGATTCACTTCCCGGCGATACGATACGAATGTACTCAGGCAAGCAACAAAACAAGACTATTACTATGATGAGCCGTTGATGGCGTAAAAAAAACAATTTACCATACTGGGAAATTACGCATATATATATATAGTGATATGTAGTGATGATAAAGAAAGAAGCTACCGCTTTTAATGATAGTTCAGACTATATATATCTACTTTTTATACTACTCGTTTTACTTAATATATTATTTTTTTTAACGAAATATGATTCTTTTTACATAATTTGTCCTCTTTGATTTTTGCATATAAAAATATTAAAACAAATTAAATTACTGAAAGATTAATTTAAGCCCCGTACATGTGCTTATTATACATATATCATCTCATTCACGAACGTATCGGATATATGGGAGTATGTATATAACGTGAGATAATACGTTATTCAATGTATGTACGTTTTGTACAGATATATATATGTATATATAGGTATATGGAGACGCTAAAAGATATTAGGATACCGTAAAAAATATACGGACATATCCATTATTATAATTCTCAGTTTTCTTTATAGTATTAAAATCATTGATTTTGAGTAATTTGTCACGTATTATAAAAGTAACACGCCATGTCAAATCTTTTAAGATTAATCGGAGAAATATATTTCGGATTTTCTTGCAAATAATTTTTTAGTTAAGAGTAAATTAGCTTTAAATTAAAAACAAGCCCTATTTATATACCTTTTAACTCTAATTATATATGACTTTAATAATCCTTCAAACATCATATCAGGAATTAAGCTAGAAATTATATACTATATATATATTAGATATGTATGTACATACATTATATAACATGAAAAGAGTCGACGCGGTATATTATTAAAAAGACAACCAGCCAAAGGCAAATTTTCGTGATAGTCAAATGGGCCCGGTGGACCCGGAGGTAATTGAAGAACGATACATTACCGACCATTTTGACCGAGGATAACAAGGGTTTTAGTGACCTGCAATTAATCACTATTTTATTATCGACTGCAGTGAAAAGTTTACATGATAAAATTTAATTTGTTATCCTCGCGCGGTACAGCCAAAATGGTTGGTAATGTCAT